TAATAATAATAGCCCCTTCTTCCCAGCATTGCTGTGAGGATCAGATAACACGTATAAGCACTTTGAAGTTCTATTAATGACTAGTGATGATATGTTTGACCTTGGGCAAGTTGTTTCTCTTATCTGGACTTGTTTCTTGTTCTGGATGATTTCTGAGGTTTCTTTACCTCAACATATTAAGACTGGGTCCATGAAGTAGAATCACAAAGTGCTCTTCTCTTTTCTTAATTCTACTCTGGAACACAAATCTTTGTCAATCAAGGAGACACCCACCCATCCATCAATCAAAAATCTGGGTAATCTGGCAGAAGCTGCCATCAGATGCCTGGAGGAGTTTCTAAATTGGGAAGGGGGTAGGAGTGAGAAGCCTATGCAATCTTGTGGAGTTTGTCTTCAGACCTCTAGTCTTCCCTTCAGGCATTATTTCCCCATCTTCCAGTTGATTCTTCCTATACCATCTCAACAATCCAAAGTCCGGCTATTTGTTCGAGCTGTCCTATTTCTCTCTCTCTCTCTCTCTCTCTCTCTCTCTCCTCCACTTGCTTAAGGCTGGCTAATCAGCTCATCAACTCCCTGGCGTCAGTGGCTATGACCTTTCCCCTATCAATCAATCAATCAAGTCACATTTCTTAAGAACCTACTGTGTGCTAACCATTGTGCCTGCGGGAGGCAGCATGAAAACAAATAAATACAAAGCAAGTTTTATACAGGATAAATAGGAAATAATTAACAGAGGTAAGGCACTGGAATTAAGAGGGGTTGGGAAAAGCTTCCTGTAGAAGGTGAGATTTTAGTTGGGACTTAAAGGAAGCCAAGGAGGTGAGTAGTCAGAGTGGAGGAGTCCATTTAACCAGAGAGAATGCCTAGAGCTGAGAGATGAAGTGTCTTGTTAGTGAAGCCCCTAGGGTTTGAGGTTTTGAGTCCAGATTTACCTAGTAGCAGATTTTCCCCCATATTAGAAGAATTTTGGCATCACTGAGAAGATAGGATTTGAATTTGGGAGAAGGGTGAGAGATGTTTTCTCAAGACAGTATAAGGATGACTATTCTAAATACCCAAATTAACTGCAAAGATCCTGTGAAGGAAGAAAGTTACAGGATAACTTTGTTGTATATTTGAAAGGAACAGCAAGTTGTACATAATGGATCTGCAGTTTCAGGGTAATCTTTTTTTCTAATCCACTTTGTTATGGAAATGCTTGTTTTATTTCTTAAGTTTAGAATTTAAAAAAAATATGCAAAAAAAAAGAAAGAAAAAGGAAAGCATAATGCCTTCTCAGGCCTAGGTAGGCCTCTTTCACCCTCTTTCTCTGATTTGTTCATTTAGATTATAACTAGATTGTGAGCTGCCTGGGGATAGGGACTTTTTCTTAAATGTCCCTATATCTCCACCAGCTGATGATATATGGAGTTTTTATTAACATTGAGAGACAGCCTACTTTAGGGATACGGAACTGGCCCGAGAGCCAGAAAGACTTGGGTTCAAGTACTGGTTGTCACCCTAGGAAATTCAGTCAAAAAACATTAAGTACCTACTATGTACCTGATTCTGTGCTAAACTTAAGCCTGAGTCACTTCACTTCTCAGGCAGGGGTGTGCTGGTGAATGTTTAAGACACATTTTAAAATTTAATCTGCCCCCTTAACATTTTGTCCATCACTTTCTCAAGTCTAAAACAATTGGTACAACAATAAATCAGGCCCCGATGGAGAGCCTTTGCCAATTCCAAAGGTGTAGATGCTCACACTTACAATTTAACTATCATTTGAACTGACTCTAGCACCCTTCTGCTCTCAGGGCTTTCGGCACCTCTCTGAAATGATAAATTACAGAGAACACATATGTCTGCATTGGTAGAGAGTTTTCTCATCCAGGAATTCCCTATAACAATGAAATCACAGGTCTAGTGCCCATTCACTTAAGACATACTATTTTCAGTTGCTTCCCCACTGCCTCAAGTCTGGCTCCTACCTCCATTTTCAGTCTTAATGCATATTACTTCCCACCAATCAAACATTTATTAAGGGCCTACTAAGTGCCAGGCACTGTGTTAAGCTCTGGGGATACAAAAAGGCAAAAGAAAAGTCCCTGCCCTCAAGGAGCTTCCAAATGAATAGGGAAGACAACATGCAAACAAATACATACAAAGCAAGTTATATACGGGATAAATAGGAAATAATTAACAGAGGGAAGGCACTAGAATTAAGAGGGATTGGGACAGGCTTCCTCAAGGAAGGTGGGATTTTAGTTGAGACTTACGGGAAGCTAGTAGGAAGAGCATTCCAGGCATGGAGGATAGCCAGAAAAAATGTCAAGATCCAAGAGATGGAGTGTCTTAATGGAACAACCAAGAGGCCAGTGTCACTAAATCAAAAAGTATCTGGGGGTGGTGGTATGTAAGGAGACTGGAAAGGTAGGAGGGTATTAGGTTATGAAGGGCTTTTAATACCAAACAGAGGATTTTATATTTGATCCTGGAGGCAACAGGGAACCACTGGAGTTTATTGAGTGTGTGTGTAGGGGGTGTATGTGACATGATCAGACCTGCCCTTTAGGATTTCACTTTAGATGGATTGTAGTGGGGAGAGACTTGAGGCAGGAAGAACCCACCAACAGGCTATTGCAGTAATCAAGGCATGAGGATTTGCAGTGTCAGAGGAGAGAAGGGAGTGAATTTAAGAGATGTGGAAGAGTTGAAACCAACAGGCCCCGGCAACAGCTTAGATACTGGGGGAGGGGGAGAGGTGAGACAGGGTGAGGAGTCCAGGATGCCTCCTGGGTTGTGCGCCTGAGACACTGGGAGGATGGCGTTACCCTTTAAGTAATAAGGAAGGAGAAGGGGAAGGTTTAGGGGGGAAAGATAATGAGTTCATTGAGTTTAAGATGTCTACTGGACATCCAGGGGTAGCTAGGTGGCGCGGTGGTTAGAGTACTGGCCCTGAAGTCAGGAGGACCTGAGTTCAAATCTGTCCTCAGACCAAACACTTGACACTTACTAACTGTGTGACCCTGGGCAAGTCACTTAACCCCAATTGCCTAAAAAAAAGAAAAAGAAAGAAAAAAAGAATAGTACTGGACATCCAGTTAGAGATGTCTGAAAGGCAGTTGGAGATGCCAGATTGGAGGTCAGAAAAGAGTTTGGGACAGGGCAGGCAGACTTAAGAATCATCAGCAAAGAGATGGTAATTAAATACTTGTTTGTTGATGGGATCACCAAGTGAAGTAGTGTAGAGGGAGAAGATGCCCTCTGGGTATTAGTCACTCTGGCCTGCTGTTTCCTAACCACTAGGACCACAATCCCTCCTGCTTCTGCCCTTTAACACATCCTGGCTCCCATTCTGGCCCTCCTCACCATGGCTCTCCCCTGGAACAAGCTTCATCCCACCAGAAACTCAGACTCACCCTCTGGCTCCGACAGCTGAGATTTTTTGCCTCCATGAAAGCCTTTCCAGATCCCCTTGATGTATGACCTTTCCCTAGGAGGAAGTAAACCCCAGGAGGGCAGGGATTGCTTTGCTAGCTTGTATCTCTATCCCCAGCACTTAGCACATTGCCTGACACATAGTAAACCCTGCTATCTATCTGGGGTGTATGGGGCACTCAGGGAGGACGAGCACCTCTGGTATGAGGGCTGCTCACCCACCTTTGGTGTCCACCTGTCACCCAACTCTGGCCTGTGGCTCCTAGAAGCTGTAGCATGCACTGTGGCCCCACCCCGGTAAAAGCCTCTCAGCAGAAGGGCTAAACCAGATTGAGGATAACCACCAGCTCTCAAACCTCACAGTGAGTCGGGGTAGTGTCTACTCCAAATGTATAAAGACTTCCCCCTGCCTGAGTGGGAGGATGAAAACAACTTGTTCCGATGACCATTGAGGGGGATGAAGCAGGCGCTGTAGAACGCTTAGAGCTCGGTCAGACATCAAAGATGCCAAGGTCATCCACTGCACCTCGGGCCATCACCAGTCGTCCTGACTTTTGTCCTGCCACCGGACTTTGATGACTGGAAGAGAGAACGAGGCTGATGACTTTGGGCAGCTCTGCCTCCCTCACTTAAACCTAATTTTCGAGGTATCACCCATGATGTCATTGATCCTCTTTGAAAATGAAGCATGAACAACGCTTAGTAAAATCTACCTAGATATCTGGGATGCACGCACTCCTCCCCTCTGCCTTTCTCGATTCACTTTGCGCTGATGCTGACGGTGCCGTCTACCTCTGGCAATCCCCTTGTATTGACAAACATAGCAAGGAGTCCCTTGATAACTGTGTACTGAGTTCGATCTTATTTGTGTCTTCATTTAACAGAGGAGGGACTCTAAGCTTAAAGGCAGGAGGTGGTTTGCCTAAGCTCACACAGTTAGTGGGGGTCATGAGGCTGGATTTGCTGCCTTCAACAGAGCACGGATCCCACGAACTTCATGCCCAAAGGATGAGTCCTGGTCCAAGGGACGGCTGGGTTGGGTCCCAAAGGTCACTCCTCACGCCTCGGGACATCAATGCTGAGCTAGACACCCAACGGGGTTGCAACAAATGCAGAGGCCTAGGGCTGAAAACCCAAATCTTTCTTCTGACTTGGGGTTCAGTAATATTTGGGGGGGCCCCTGGAGAGAGGTCAGCATGGGAGAGTGGAAAGGACAGTGGACTCGAAAGGTCGGAGGCAATACTCGAAATCAGGTCTTCCTGACTCCCAAGCGCCACAGCGTAGGCCCGGCGCCCCTCGCTGCAGCGCTCTTCTCCTCTGCTCTGTCACTGTTGCAGAGGGTGCGGATCAAGAACGAATCGGAGCCTCGGGCCGGCACGCGCAGCTCCGCGGGGAAGCTCCGCAAGCGCGAGACGCAAACACGGAAAAGCCGAGCCGACGAAGGAGGCGGGGCGCGCGCTCGTCCAATCCCCGAGAAGGTGACGTCACCTCCCCGCCCTCGAGTCCTGCGTCGTCTCTCCTGATAGGTCCTCCTGAGGCTCCTCGCACCGGGGGGCGGGGCGGTCGGAGTGGCGGGAAGTTGGCGGCTCCGCCCTCAGCCTTTGAGCTCGGGGTTCTGATTTGGAGGGCCCGGGGCCGGACCCATGGACTCTGCCGAGGTGGAGTTCCTGGCCGAGAAGGAGATGGTCACCATCATCCCCAATTTCAGCCTGGACAAGATCTACCTCATCGGGGTAATCGGATGCCGGGTCTCCCCCCCACCTCCCTGCGTGCCTCAGTTTCCCTCCCTCCCTTCCTGGTACCTCAGACCTCTCCAGCCCCACAGCCTCCCGGGACCTCCGCCTCTTCTCCGCCTTTGCGCCCCTCCTCCTTCCCGCCTCCCGAGTATCCGTTCTCACCCCCAATCCCCGGGTCTCAGGGTCCAGGGTCCCCTCCCGTAAGACCCTCTCCCCGGACTCGGGCTTCACCTCCCTGGAGCCCTCCCTCTTGCCTTGGAACTCCTCCTCTGGCCCCAGATACCACCCCTCCCCTTCTCCTTTCTTCCCTTCCCCCTTCTCCCCCTCCTCCCGTCTCTATCTCTTTCTCTGTTCCCTCCCCCTCCCCCTTCTTCCCTTCCTCCTTCCCCCTTCTTTCCCTCCTCCTTTCTCTATCTCTTTCTCTGTTCCCTCCCCTCCCGCTCCCCGTCTCCCCTCCTCTTTCCCCCCTCTTTCTCTCTCTCTCTCCTCTCTGTCTCTGTCTCCTTCTCTCCTCCCCTCCCTCCCCCCTCCCCCGCCTCTCCTCCTCTACCCCTCCCCGTCTTTCTCTCCTTCTCTCTCCTCTCTCTGTCTCTCTCTTTATCTCATTCCCTCTCTCCCCCTCTCCCTCCCTCTCTTCCCTCCCTCCCTTCCTCCACCCCTCCCCTTTCCTCTCCCCTCCCTTCTCTTTTTTTCTCCACCCCCAGTAGAAATTGTAGGTTTGAAGGAGACTTCCTGGGAGTAACAGTAAGTTGTTGTAGACTAAGGTGTAGCTGTATTTGGACACTCAGTAGCTGTCAGCGTTTTGGATGGCGGTGCCCTTTTGGATGATTTTATATCTTTTTTTTTTCTTACTAATGCCACAATTTCTTTTCATTTGGCTGAGGTTCACCTTGCTGTTTTGGTCTGTTTTCTCGTGGTGACTTGTTTTCCCTCTCTGGCAGGGAGATCTGGGACCTTTTAATCCTGGTTTACCTGTGGAAGTACCTCTTTGGCTGGCAATGAACCTGAAACAGAGACAGAAGTGTCGAGTGATTCCTCCTGAATGGATGGATGTTGGTAAGGGTGGTGGCTAAGGGTGCCTGAAGTCTAGTTGGAAGCCAAGGATGGGTGTAGTGGGGACAACTGATTGGATTATGTCTTAAGTGGCTGGGCAGGTGCTTTTCTCTTTACTATCTACTGAACTTCAGCACTTAAGTAACCCTTGCATTCTTGTTTAATTTTTGCATCCTTGAGGATACTTGACTTTATAGTGTAAGTAATATTATCCCTTTATATGTACTGACATATCTACATGCATGCTCTAGGTGTATACTGAGGCTCAGAGAGATGAAGGGACTTTCCCAAGGTCCCCCAGCATCCCCCAGGGATGGAGGAGTCAAAACTGGGTCTACAAACTCTCTTGCCTCCCATGGGAGAATGTTTTGCAGGACCGCCTTTAGGATCAGGACTATCTTTCCTGAAGGGGCAGGTCAATCATTCGTCAAAGAGGGATTCATTACTCCTCACTCATTTCCAGCCATTTGATCTAAGAATGGCCCTAGTCATGTATTATTTAGGTTTTAAACCTTGGAGGTGTTGTTGTCCAGTAGAAATGGAACGAGGATAAGGGGGTCTATTGCTCCTGTTACCCTGAGTGCTAGGCCTGGAGTTAGGACGAGCTGGGTTCAAATTTGACCTCAGCCACTGACTAGCTGGGGATCCTGAGCAAGTCACTTCACCTTTGTCTGCCTCAGTTTCCTGAACTGTGAAATGAGGATCACAGTAGCACCTACCTCAGAGGGTTGGTGCAAGGATCAAATGAGATCACATTTGTGATGCATAGCATAGTGCCTGGCACTTAGCAGGTGCTTTATGAATGCTTCTTCCCTCCTGCTTCCTAGAGAGGTATCTAGCTGAAGCAGTCCCAAACCCGTTGGGGGAAGGCTAAATGTCTGTGCTTCTTAGCACACAAGTGGAAGGCATGTTTCCTTTCCCGTATTTTTGTTTGTTTGTTTGTTTGTTTTTAGGCAATTGGGGTTAAGTGACTTACCCAGGGTCACACAGCTAGTAAAGTGTCTGAGACTGGATTTGAACTCAGGTCCTCCTGACTTCAGGGCCAGTGCTCTATCCACTGTGCCACCTAGCTGCCCCACTTTTCCTGTATTTTAAGGGGCCTTTTTTTAAAAGCAACATTGAGGGCCATTGAGGTATTGCTTCCCTTGAAGATTCCACTCCCGGCTAGGGCTGTGGAGCTGCATGGTGTGGCATTGGTTTGGGAGTTGGAAGATTTTTTCATTCTAAGCCCGGCTGTGATATCAGTAGCTGTGAAAGCTGACAAGACCCTTACCTTCCGTTTCTTCATCTGAAATGAGGGGGTTGGAGTAGATGACCTCTGAGGTCAGCTGCTCCAAACCCCTGATACCAATGCCCTCCTGGATCAGGACTGAATTCACTCGTGGTTCCTTCCTATGAAAGAGGCTTTGGGCGATTTGGAAATGAATTGGGAAATCCTACTTGTGTCCCTGATGCCAAAGGGCAAAGGTTCCTCTTGTAGCTTAGTTCAGTAAGGATTCAGCAACTTGGAGAATTAGGCGCAGAGGTAGTTAGGAATTTTTAAATAAATTATGTCTGTCTTGTATTTCGAAGCCATGAAGTCTTGTTTGACTAGAACAAAAATGTAGTTTCACTGTATCCTTTCAGCATGTGATTATCCCGTGTATAGGACGCTTTGGCAGAGACGGGATCTGGTGGACATACTAGCATCTGGGCAAGTTTCACTGACTTGTTGAAAGAAGAGATAGCCATAACACATAAATATTTTACTGAGGAAACAGTTCTTATCTCTGTTTTTTCCCATCCCAGGGAAGTAGCCATCAGCTACTGCAGTTTGTCTGGCACCTCTGATTTCGGAATTGCAATTGTTTTCTGCTTTTCCTCCAGCAGTTAAATAATAAATTAAATAAATTCTTGAATTTGGCGTTATCTGGGCAATTTGTCCTGTATGAGTCTACTGGTATTTTTTTTAATCAGCCTTTCTGTTTAAGGAGAATGGCCTGAAATACTCTGGCTGACAAAATAGATGCAATTTTATGATTTTTTTTTAAAAAAAGAAATATTGTGAATATGAAACATTTTGCACTCTATATTTCAGAAAAGTTGGAGGAGATACGAGATCAAGAGAGAAAGGAGGAAACCTTTACCCCAATGCCTAGTCCTTACTACATGGAACTTACCAAATTGTTGTTAAATCAGTAAGTACTGTCTTTGCGATTTCAATCCATTAAACATTTACTAATTGCAGTGTTGAGGGCAGGGGTGGGGAGGGGAAAAGAGGAATAAAGAGTTATGACATTAGTTCCTGGCTGTAAATGTGAATCATTTTGCTTGTTCCTGCTTACCTGACTTTGGCCATCCTTTCTTCTAACCCCAGCTTCCATTTATTTCCTTTACCTTTCTCACCTTGAAAATTCAGCTTAGATTCCCCTTACCTGAAAGGTTTCTACTTTATATGACTTTCTTTACTCTTCTATGTAGCAAAGGGATGGTGTGATACAAATTTTTACTTTATTCATTTGCATTTGTTAACATTGTTTTGTGTTTGGTTTCTTTGAGGGCAAGGCTCACGTTTTCTGTTTGTTATATTCCCCTGAGTGCCACATCCTTAGGGGGTGGCCATTAATGATGGCTAGTTAACAACTACCATCACCTCCTTGGGCCAACCTTGAAACGCTTTCCTGGGCATGCATCATACAAAGTACCGTAATGTTCCCAGTACAGACTCTTGACACACTGAAATTACTAAAGCTGAGCCTGACAACTGGAGAAGCTTTACTTCAAATCTCAGTTGTATTAGAATGTGAAGTGTGGGACACGTAAGGAGATGTTCTTGTCCTGGGCAGTTGCATTAACGAAAAAGGAACTTCACTGATGACTGGTCTAAATTGGACCTGGCCACTTGGCACTAAGCTTGTTAGGTCCTTACATTTTTAAAGTACAAAATGCAATCAAAGATAGTTAGCATCTTGCTCTTAAGTCCTGGTAATATTGCTTAGACAGAGGCAAGGAACTTTCGGCCTCAAGACCCCATGTGGCCTGAAGGTTCCCCACCCTTGGCCTAGGACTTTGTACCTGTTCTGATGCATTTTTGTCTCCTCTAGTGCTTCGGATAACATCCCCAAGGCAGATGAGATCCGGACCCTGATTAAGGATATGTGGGATACTCGAATAGCTAAACTCCGGGTGTCTGCAGACAGTTTTGTCAAACAGCAGGAAGCACATGCCAAGGTATATATACATACATATAGTAAGACACTTTTCATGGATTCGCTCCATTCTGGGACTACATCAGCTGTTTGAGAGGGAAAAGGATGAGATACTCGTGTCTGGGAGCACCTAGACTTTGTGTAGTTCTATATTTAACATGGGAATAATTTGGTCACTTTCATAGCAGCCAAGGTTTGAGTGAAAGTAAACATCAGGTTTTTTTCCTTGAATACCTTGATTCTGTTGAACTGATATTAGTTTTACATGTTGTGGCATGGCATTTGAGTATGACTTTTGCAAATAGAATGTGCCTTTTGTACTTTTGGCTTGGTTTTTGCAATGATAGGTTTCTTACTTTTACCTTTATCCCTCAGATTTATAGTAAACATATTACTCATTGTCTTTTTTTCTTGCCCTTTAGCTGGATAACCTAACTTTGATGGAGATCAACACGACTGGAGCATTCCTCACAGAAGCCCTAAATCATATGTACAAACTCCGCACAAACCTCCATCCTGCAGAGAGTGCTCAGTCTCAGGACTTTTAGAGGAAAACATTGTAGCAAGAGAGACCCCATCAAGTTTTGTTAAGACTGAGGGTAGGCAGCGGAGAGGAGGCTAGTTTGGTACCTTGCCCACTTTTCAGGAATGGACTTGCTATAATTGGGAAGTTCTTAGAATGTCAAGAGCACATGTTGATGACGAAGGGCAGAGTGTCACCCTTTCCTTTTCAGTAAGAGAAGCAACAGGTGTGAGACTGAATATTAATCTTCAGGCCTCCTCTCACTTTCAGAGGATGTCTTTGGGCCCACATCTATTTTGAGTAGCCCTGTTTCGAAACAGTTTCTTCTCCCTGGAGATTCCATTCACCACCCACCTCCCACCCCTCACTCTATTCTGCTGAAATGAATGGTGGTACAGCGTTTAGATATTGTCGGCTCAAGGTTTTTGAATTTACCCTTTCCTTACCAGCAGGATGTAGTTTCTCGTTTTCATAAGATACCAGTGGCACAATAATGAAGGTGTGATTTAGAATTTCATTCTGCCTACTTTGTTTCATTTTCTACTGGCCTAACATCATCTTAACAATTTTACTGTTGAGTTAGACTTAGAGAGATGGTACATTGGGACAGTCTCATTGGATTGTTACTGATGTTCATGTTTCGTGGTTTGCTTAGGCTCTTTCTGGTGAAACATGTAGACTGAATCAACCCCAGAAATGGTACAATGGTTTGGGGGTTTTTGCCCAGTATTACAGTAACAGTAGTCACTTGGCTGTTGTGAATTGCACACAAAACACTTGGTCGGTTGTTTGCCAATAAACTTGTAAAGTGTTCTGTCTGTTTGGACTTGAATGGGCTTTTCCTTTTGCCCTTGCTGAGTCAGCTAGTAGAACTATTAATTCAAGAAAACGTCTTTAACCAGTGAAAAAGCCAAAGCTGTACCAGGCAGAGCTTGGTGAAGACATCAAGCACAGCAGAGAATTTGGGCCCCACTTCTGATAGGGAATCGAGAGAATGGCTTTCGGTTGCAGGCAGTCAAGATTCAGACAGCCAACCTCTCACAGCTGATTTCCTTGGTCAAATGGGGATAATAACAGCACCTTGCTCCCAGGGTGGTTGTGGGGATCAAATGAGATAGTTTTAAAGCACTTTCCAAAAACCTTGAAGTGCTATATGCTAGCCATTTTTTTTAAAGAATGTTCTACTTTCAAATAATAGTGATGAGTGTCTAACCAAAAATTACCAGTCAAAATCACTAGTGTTAAAATGCAGATGTGGGAAATGTCTGGAGACGATATTTGACAGGTGGTTCTGAACCTCAGGAAATGGACTAGAATGGAAGCATGAAAACAAGTTCCTCAGGGACAGAGATTGTCATCTTTGCACGATGCCTTCCTGGAGCCCAGTGTACTGCACAGAATGCTTACTGGTGACTGGAAGCATCTAGCAGCTGCACACAGAAGGTGCTTAATAAATGCTGACTGTTTCTCCAAAGGTCTCCATGTTAGAAAAATCACGGAGGCACCTGTGACCAGACGGGTAGGGCAAAGGTCACACACCAGGGTCCCTCTTTACCCTGCATGACTGACTTTGTAGACGTTCAAGGCAGCTGTTACACTTTAAAAGGAATTTGTGAAGAAGCATTCTCTCCACTTACCCACCCTCTCTGGTGAATGCTGGTTTTTCAAAAGCAGTTTGGGATCAGGATGAAAAATCGGTATGCTGCTCCCATCAGCTGGAGGAAAATTGGTAGCTAAGCAATTGCTCTATAGTTACTTTCCAAGCCTGTGGTCAGAAGCAGCATTATTTCACAAGTTCTTGAGGTAAGGCTGCTAATTCCTAAACAAAACCCCCAAATAAACTATCATGAGTATTTATTTGAATAACCGATGACGTCTGTTGTGTTTGGAATGATCAGTAATTTAGCAGCTTGGAAAACAGACTTTAGATGAGGGTGTGCAGGCTTCTGAAAGGGCTGTATACTGCCACCCAGTGGCCAATGACTTAAGTACTGAGGGATGGCTGACAAATATATCCTCGTACATCATCTACTAGGCAAGCTTGTTGATTCCCAAAATGTTTATACTTTAGGAATTCAAAGTCAAACGTTATCTGTAGGCGCCATAGGAATCACACCCCAGTTCTATTTTTCTTTCTTTTCTTTGCTCTAAAACTGTGGTTTCATGTCAGATTTTCATTGTTCCTTTGACCTTGGGCTAAGATTCATCAAATGTTTATTGAACCAGGTGCAATACACTGTGCAGGACATAAACATATAAATGTTAAGACTTGACATCTTTGTAGTTGTGTGGGGTCAAGTGTTTTGTGATTAACTTTATTTGGCTGGCAGCTGTCTTGTGGACATTTACTAAATATGTTGGGTGGTTTATGTGTCATTTCACACATCACCTTTTGGAATAAATCATGAGCAAAAGAAGTTCCTGGCCTTTATCCTAGCTCACAACCCATTCCCATATTTTATGATTACATCCCTTGTTATACTGGCTTTTTGGAGTGGAGGGAAGCATATTCAAGAACTGAAATGTCAGAAATCCCTGTTTTTCGTTTTTTTTCTTTTTATTTGCCAGTTTCTAAAATAGAAAACCAAGTCTGAGTCATAGTGGAGCTGTTGAATGGTTTGTGAAGGCCCAGCTAGTCCTTCTTAACACTTTAATCAGAAAATAATCCTCAACACTGATTTAGGAAGATTTTATTTTTTGGATGTTGTCAGAAATTACAGCAATATATTCATAAATACCTAATTACTACATTCAACAAATAATATATTACAATACAATTAATTCAAACAAGTACACTTAGAACAGGTTTAATTTCACAGCATCTAAACTGCCCCCCTGTTGACTGAGGTGCCCTTCCTCCTCCCATGTACTGATTTACTGCTCTAGGAATTATGCACAGGGTACATACAAATCACAACCAATCAGCACGGGCTTTGGGTCAAGGCAGAACGAAGAATTCTTAAGAGTAAAGCACAGGGTCCAAAAGTTGGGGATAGGCTACCAAAGGCTTAAGAAAAAAATAATCAACAGCGTTTGTTACTTTAAAGAGTATAGGAATTGCTGCAAGTGGCTAATATACAGTCAGAGTGCTAGGATTGGCGCGTGTTGACCATCTCCATCTAGTGGCAGCTCCTTGAAATCCTACTGCAACTTAGAACTTGGAGTGGATGCATTTTTAACAAGATTTTTTTTTTTAATGGGTCCTCTTTGAAATTCAGTTCTTCATAAATATGGCAATTGTGGGGCAGTGACTGAATATACAATGTTGTTTTAAAAATGCCATTCATAAGTGAATTTGGATCACAGCTTCATGTGTTTCTAGATTAATGAAATTAATTTCCTTAAAAGGGCAACTTATTGATTTCTCCAATTGAAGCCCCTGATGGAGATTATTCCAAATTAACGTCACCTCTTCTAACGTACAAAAGTGACCGAAGGTGACATCTTGGTTACTCTCATCTTTTCTGATACAACTGATAGACATCAGCTGTTCCTTCGGAAGCTGAACTACCATAAATGTCTTACTTCAATAGCAGAGCCAGCCATGTGTTGCTTCCAGAATGTCTGTTTGCAATAGGAAAATCACATCATTGGGACGTAAGTCCAAGGAATGAAGAAGCCTCAGGAGCATTTTGCTTTGTTTCAATTTGGGGGTGAAGTGCAAATATCTGTCTAGCTGCTGAACCTTAGGATTCAGTTGTTTTCATCATTGCACCCTTAAGGAATCTGGGTTGCAGTCTTATTTCTGCAAAAATAATGTGCCATTTCTAGTTGCTAAAGACCAAAGTCTCTATATAAATCGTGAAACTAAGGGAGCCTCATTAAATCTAGAGCCAATCATGATAAATATTTGAACTTCTACTATTTTGCATTCTAAAGTTTTTTTCTGCGTTTCAATCCATTCCAAGGAGAAATTAAAAAGCTTCCCTGATTTTGTATTGTCAGTTTTTCTCACAGCCAAATTAAAAACATACTACTAAGGACTGCCATATTCTCATATTTTTCAGAATGGAGGTGTATGAAAATAATTGCAAATTATTTCTGCATCAGGGCTGTTCTAAACATGACAAGGGGGAAAACCCACCAGGGTATTTACACATTTTAGTAATGTGTTTTTTATTTCAATAGTTCCTCATCCTAATGGTCATTGCTGTACTATAGGTTTCGATTTTGTTTTAGAGGAAGAGTATTCAGAGATCTGCATAAGGAAATGAGCACTGAAAGCTCAGACATCAAGCTGAGACTCAAATGCCAATCAGAAACAAGGGAAGTCAAAGCTTTCTTGATAGTAGATAGTCTCAACCCCTTGGCATCTATTAATCAACAGGTACCTTTGGAAACCATGCCATCTCTTGCCTGCTGTTATACCAGGATGGCCAGAGTGAGAGTCCATTCAAGGCAAGAGCTGACAAGATATTCCTCAAAGCCTGGAGGTGGTGGCCAGATAAACTAAAATTAAGCGTGTTCCAGGCTAGCCCCATTCCTTGAAGTCCTTTGCTGTCCTTTCCCTCTTCCATGATGTCACAGGCCTATGAGCTGGCAAACCTTCCTTTGCCCAGTTTCCTCTAGCCAAGGCTATGGCTAGCCCAAAAGTTAACAACAAAAAAAGAGGCCAAGTTATTCCATGGACTGTGGAAAAGGGCTCTGGAGCAGAGCCAGCAGCAGAAAAGGCCCCTCCCTCAGAAATTCCAGACTAGATACAGCAAGCAGATTTTGTTCTGGGAAGTACATTGATACTTTTTGCCCTCGTCTTTGGCAAATTAGCTCCTTTACCTCCAAGCTCCACCTACAGAGTACACGGCAAATTTCACAATGTCTTTTGAGGGGAGGAGGTATACAAGTACAGCCTTTCATCTCTCTTCAAGTAACATCTCTGGAAAGGAAGGTGCTTGTTGACTGCTGATAATACTGGCGGCCCTTTTTGTCTGAGTTTGCTAATAACTGGAAGATTCCTGGCAAACATACAAAACAGACTGTGTAGGAACAGATAAAACCACGTTAATGCCATCTGCTAGAAAGCTGTATATATACCGAGAAAAGATCGGGACACCTTTTACCAGTGGAAGAGCAACATTCCAAGCAACTCAACTGCTCACTAGCTAACTGGGAAAGTTTAAACATCACAAATCAACATAACCACTCCCGTCTTCTGCTATCCATCCCCAAAACATTCTTTTCTCTGGGAATGGGACCCCTCTTTCTGACCCGATTTCCCCATCCACAGCGAATCTACCCAAACAACGCAGAGATGGATCAAGGCTAAGGCAAGATAGAAGAATCCCCTCTCTCATTCTGTACAGTTTCTAGCCTCTCCTGCGCTTGCCATATCCATTAAAAAGGAAGAGGAGTTCAGCTCAGACATTATGTTACCTCTACGTTTAGGCTCTTCGAAAGCTTTTAAAACTTTGCATCTAAGTGAAGCTGCTAAAGTTTCCTACTTTGCACCTGCTCAGATTGCTGTAAGACATCATAGATTTAGATCACAGAACATTTACTTCCTGAAAAGGTCTCTGAAAAGAAAACACACACAACACACACACACACACACACACACACACACGCGCGCGCACTCACACAAAACACACAGAAAGTAATTTTTAATCTTGTTCCCAACACAGACTATCCCCTCCTCACTCAATAGCAGCTGGTCATATTTGCAATTTACTTTCCAAGTGCTGGAAAAAAAATATAACAACAACAACAACAACAACAGAAAGAACAGAGGAAGGGAAGGAGGGAGGTTAGAAGTGATGCATGGCTTTTTAAAGAATTCTCTGGTACAACACAAGTTGAAAATGAATTGACAGCATATGCGCCAGTGGAAAGCTTTTACTTTGCGTCTTAAAAAATTCTGTAAAATGCTTCAATATTTTAATGTTCTGACCAGCAGCGGTACAAACACTAAAAGCAAGGTTTTTTTTTTTTTTGCCAAAAACAAAAAACGAAAACAAAAACAGAAAAAAAAAACCAACAAAAAAAAAACAAACCCAAAACAGGAAACCAACCCCCAAACCAACCCCCCCAAAACCACATATTAAAAATGGCAGGCTTTTTATAACAATAATTAAAGTAATAAAAACATACAAAACTTTGTTTTTTTTTTTAATATATATACACAGTACAAGGCCGAAGCACCTTTTTGACTTTTTTTCTCTCAAAATTTGTGTATGTATGAAAACATAACCCACTGCAGTAACACAATGTTGTGGGTCTGTGTGTGTGTGTGTGTGTCTGTGTGTGTGTGTATATCTGTATAGTTCTGTACAATAACACCCCCCCCTCCACCCCACCCCATAATAAAAAGGTACCCTCCATTTGTTTATTCATTTTATTTTTAGATAAGTGCATTTCCAGTGGGAAAGCCTTAGGGAAAGTCTCAAGTACTGTGGCTTTGTTTGCTCCCAGGACATGATGCTCTGAAGATAATTACTTGAGTAATTGAAATGAACAATCCTGTCACTTACAATGCACCCAATCTCCTCTCCAACTGAAGAAAGCCATATACTTGTGGGGTAGATGGAGGCCAACTCCATCTTTACTGAGCAGAAATTCAGTTCTTTTAGTACTAATATGGCAACAGAAAGAATACAGAATTGGTTTGATCCAGTCAAGTGCAGATCTGCACTCCTGGGACACTGAATGGGTCTTAGTGTTGGTAATGAAACCTTCATCTTCATCTTATATATATATATATATATATATATATATATGTATATATAAAAGCCAAAACAATAAAGGGGGGGCATAAAGAACAAAACCAACTTGAAAAGAAAACAAAAGCTATGGGCCTCCTAATTGGGTTGCTTGCAGAATTACAAAGGTGATTCGATTGCATTGAAGTCAAGATTTAAGTTTTTTCCTGGATCCCAGAATCCTTTGCTTCATGCATGGCACATTCTCAAATTCTTTTTCTTTTTTCTTTTTTTTTTTAAGCTTCAAACCTCCCAGTGAAAAATATTAAATATTCAAGGTAATAAAATAGATAATATTTCTATACTCTATGTTCGGCCTAGTGCAAGGGAACGTCACCTGGGATATCCCTTGAAGTAACCCCTAGACCACTGCATTGCAGGCAACGCAAGGCACTTTCGTAAGTGATCCAGTTCTGCCTGAAGTCGCTCCCTTTCTGAAACAATCTTCTGTTTCTGACTCCTTAATTCCTGTTGGAGGCAGAAAAGAAATTTGCTGTCAAGACAAATTCTACACTGTCAGGGAAACTCTGCAGCTCCTCTCTCAACAGTGCCAATGCCAATTCAATATTCAAAGCATACACCAACATAACAAAAGCTCTACATCTGTCCAAATACAAAAACAATCTAAAGAACCAAACCTTCCTTATAACTAACTGTCCTTATCACCACTACCACCACCACCACCTCCAGTCAAAATGGCCACTATTCTTTTACGGTCCCCCTTCTATTATTATGTCACTCAGTCTGAACACCATATACTTTCTTTGTCCTAAAGTTGTTGAGTAAATATTTATGGAAGAGATGAATGAATGAAAACCACAAGATGCTGAATGAGACACATTTTGGGACAAAAACAGTGCAAGAATTTGTTTTGCTTAAGCACATACATTTGTTACAAGGGTCTAGGTTTCCTTTCTGGGAGAGGGTTGGGGCGGACGGAGGAGGATGGGAAGAGAAACTAAATGTTTCTTGACTGAAAAAAGAAATGCAAAGCCTTTCTTGATCCCCCAGTTCTTGGTGCTCCTTGCCTCCTGAAATTACTCAGTAGCAATACTTATTTGTGTGCATGGTGTATGCCCCTAGTAGAAGGCAAGCCTTCTGAGGGCAGGACCTGTTTCATTTTCATTTTTGTATTATTCTCAACACCGAATAGAGCACTGTTCACCTAGAAGGCATAGGTATATCTTTTGAACTGTTGGGTTATTAACATGAACTGGGAATAAAATTTTCGGAGGTGAAAGTGTATGCAGCACCAAATGCAATCAGTTTGTAAGGATGTTCCTGTAGGAATCCAAAGCAGTCAGATTTTTATATGCTCTTCTGGTCCTTAAATAACCTGAGCAAAAGAAAGCAGCCCCTTTACTGTGAGGGGCAATGACATCTGCGCTACCTACATACAACAGGATATTTGTGAGGACAAGTGAGAGGCTACAGCAGGGTTCAGGAAGGAAAGCACTGCATCTGTAGTCCAAAGAGCCAAATTTGAATTTCAAAAATACCTGTGTGATCCAGCACAATCACTTTCCCTCTCTAGTCCTAATTCTATCTCCAAAATAAGGGGCTTGGATTAGATCACGTCTTTCTTCATTGTCTCAGCCATCATCCCACCTCTAGCACTGAGTATGTATTTTGTAAAAATCCTGTATATACTTATCTGTGAAAATTTTGCACACTCCCTCTTGGCATAACATAAATCCCTTGAGAACAGGGAAAGTCTCACTTTGGTATCTGTTTTCACCAGTGCCTAGCACCTAGTAGGCATTTAATAGATGCCTGCTGATGGACTGGTTGATTTAAAGACCCTTCTGGTTCTATATCCTATGATTCTTTCAAGATTCTAATGCTTTGTCACCATAGAAGTGTGACAGAAGCAAGTGGGAGCTAGGAGAATCCTCATGCCCACTGGGCCTGGGCACTCACTCACCGCCATGCTGTGTGAGAGCTGCTCTGCTGTCAGACTGAGGGTATAGTGCTGGGCTTCCAGCCGTCTGCACTGGGTCTGCAACACGTGCCGTTCCAGGTTTTGTTCTACAATAAGACAAAAGACTTTCACTATTGCCATCAAGTGACCAAAAGCAAGTTTCCGTAATGAGTAGCTTCTTTTCACGTTCTGCATGGCCAAATGGCAGCCTTGCTTGCCTCCCTGAGAAAGAAGGCAAAGCGCTCAGCTTTAATTAGAAAGAGGAATTGTCAAGAAGGAAGTTTCTACAAGCGTAGTCTTCTAAGAGAAGATGACCACAAGACACAGACCCTGAGCCGAGGTGAAGGTGCAATACCTATTCAAGAGTCCCACTGAGTGCTCCCTGTTTTAAGTATCAACCTCTTTGGAGAGTAGGGGTTACTGAATCATGCTTTAAAGTCTATCAATGTGAGCTTAGGAGCCTTTTGATCCTTAAGCATTTATTTTCCGTGGAGGAAGTAAATAACTGTCCTATACCTGGAAAAAGAAAAAAAGGAAAAAAAAAAAGAAAGAGGAACTGTCTTGTTCTGGTCTGGTTTGTCTGTTGATATTCATTTAGGAAGAAAGAGTGGGTCATATCAACCCACCAGTCAAGATGCCCTTAAAAAATGTATGATAAACTCCATCCACACCAGACTTCATAGGCCTGATTCAGAATGACAAGTTGTAGTCATAAGAGGAAAAGTCTGGACATCAGAAGCCCTGGGTTCTAATCTTAGCCCTGTCACTAGATAATAACTGTGTGAACTTGGGCATGTAACCCTCAGTTTCCTTCTTTGTAAAATGAGAGGGTGAGGTGGGCTTAGATGGATGGTCAAAGTGCTTTCTGGTTTTTCAGCTCATCTTTGATAAGCCAGCCTCAACCTGCCCTCTCCTTGGACTTGGGGGTTGGTTAACACCAAGTGTATTTCAGTGATTATTATCACGTCATCTACTTGGCAGGAGAAGGGGTGGGTACCACAAGATTTTTCTGGCTAGAAGGGATGTTCGAGATCATCTAAGTATAGGTACCTGTTCATCAGAACCCTCGAAAAGGATGCCAGTCCTGAAAGGAAACAGCCCCTGGACCCCTTAGGTATGAAGCATGGATGGTCATCAAACATTTGGGGTTATCTGGGGCTGAAGTGAAACTCGGTCACTTTCCAAAACACAGGTGGCACATGGTTAGGACTATATTAAGCAGCCCTCTCTGCAGGTTGTTTGGCATGGTCACTGGGAGCAGGATCCACCTTCATTCAGGGCTCCTCCATTACTCCTTCTTATATAGGGTATATTAACTAACTGTAAATAAACCCACAGAATAACTTCTGGACAGAGATCAGTCAGGAATCACTGGGTGTACCCTAGAAATAAAAGATGGTGGTAACATAGGAGACTTCTGGCATTTGGGTCCAGTTTTGTCATTAGAAATCCATCCAGAGGCAGCTAGGTGGCACAGTAGATAGAGCTCTGGCCTTGGAGTCAGAAGGACGTGATTTCAAATCCGGCCTCAGACACTTGACACTTACTAGCTATGTGACCCTAGGCAAATCCCTTAACCCTGATTGCCCCACCCCCCCAAAAAAATCCATCCATTGGGAAGAAGAGTGAGAACAAGAAGTTAAAAGAGCTGGGTTTAATGCCAGCTGCGCCCACTATGAGTTATACGATCATAGGCAAGTTATATGCTCTTTCTGCGCTTGGGCTTCCTAACTTATAAAATGTTTGCATTACCTGACCTCTCCGGGTCATCACCACTAAATATGATCAATCACACACACACACACACACACACACACACACACACGTTTATAGCTATAAAGCATTGTATAATTGTCAGGTATGACTACCACCAATATTGTCATTTATTAGTGCGCCTAAATATACAATGGAATTCTCAAACGGTTTGCTAAATTTTAAGTTACCCTACATACTGACCTTCTATATGTTCCTGGTAAGCTTCAAAAATTGCCTCAATCCCTTGCCACCTGGGTCTGGGAGTTTCTTCTTCTTCTTCTTCATCTTCATCTATGTCTTCCTCCTCCGAGTCTCTGTCCAGCTCCTGGGAAATGGGGCCCTTCCGCACAGATGAGGGCTCCTGCTGCCCATTGTGCTGAGGCATCGATATCCGGCTGGAGGACTGTAACTCAGGAATGTTATAGTGGACGGAGGTGTCAACTTTATGGTTCTGCTCGGCAGAGAGCAAGGCTGTACTTCCTGGAACAGAGAGACAAGCCACACGGCTGAGCACCTGCTGATGACAATGGTTCTCTGCTCAGAGCTCAGGGCGTTAATGAGGTTGGGGTCCATTCCAAAGAAGGGCCAATTGGCTTTGCTGGATTATAAGGCCAAAGACGAGGCATCCCAAACACACAGCAGCTGGCTCCTTCCCCACTACCTACACTAGTGGGCATGGGGGGAAGAAGGGGGATTGAAAGGGAAGCGGGCAGAAATGCATCACGACTGAAAGGGTACATCCTTCTGACAGCGTCTGTCCCGTCACTTTCACCTGTGAAGAGGCACCACTGTAGAGTGGTAAGAAGGACACTGAACTTGGAGAGTCCTGAGTTCAACTCTGGGTGACCATTCTTCAGTCACTAAAGCTCTTCAGAGCTAACACATTTCTAAAGCTGGGAATAGTATCTACTGTACTTACCAATATCTCCCGTACCTACCTCCCCCAGGGTTGCTGAGAGGCTCAAATGAGATAGGATATGTAAACCTTAGAGGGCCAAGGATCTGTTAGTGGTGCTTACTGTTATGGGACTATGTTGGCAGCATTGGGGGAGGGCATGTTTGATGCATTCATTTGCCTTCTAAGTCCAAAATCGAAAGTTAAGTTTTAGGTTCATTAGGAGTCATGATACGTCCAGGTACGAGAGCCTGTTTTCATCCTTGCTAGTACTAAGTTCTAACTAAGTTCCTAAATTTGAAGGCTTGGGGCTAGCTCTGCCAAAGGCTCACATTCGGGAGGTAAGACAGCCCCAGCCAGTCAGAAAGGTGGTGGTTTCCCCAGTTCAGTTCTACCTGTCTTCCTACTGAATGTCCTCTGGGAAAGGCATCCAGAAACTTGTAGGCTTTCCACTGACTACGAAGATTTGCACAGCCCTGAAAAACACACCCCAGACTATCATGGGGAAAAGGGAAAAACAGACTCTTTGGGGACACATAGCTAAAGTCCTCACCAAAAAAGTCACAATATTGAAAATTATTTGGCACACCAGCGAGGTACAAAAGCCATATTCAGCGTATCACAGAATAACGGGAGAAAGGCTCTCCAGAAGTGAGAAAAATTACTGTGGTTTCAAAGGCTTCAATGCAGTTAAAAAAAACCTCATGTGTCCATAACATAGATCGAGGGTGGGGGGGGGGGGTGAGGAACAGTGGGCGAACTTCCCCCTCCTTTTCAATGAGACCAGTGGTTAGTAACCTTTTAAAGGAGAAGAATCATTTGAGGATAATATTCTTAACACAGACTTTTTTGTATTTGTAATACAAAACCAAATTTTTGAAGAACTGCATTTTTTATATATTAATTTTTAAAAAAATTGACGCCAGAGATTTTTATATTTGCACTGGTCCATCCGCTAATAAAATTGTCTTTAATTTACAGTAACAATAGTTGGCATTTATCTAGCACTTTAAGACTTACAAAGCAATTTAAATTTATTATCTCACTGAATTCTCATAACAATGAGATAAGAACTATGGGTATTGCCCCCACTTTATAGATGAGGAAATCGAGAGACCAAGAGTAGTTAGTTAATTAATCTGTAGTTACACAACTTATGAATATAACAGGTGGAATTCCAACTCAGGTTTCTCTGGATTCCAAGTCTCGTTACTTCTGTTTATGGACGAGGCAACAGAACCCAACAGGTTCACCAAGCAATAGGCATGGTATACAGATGGCCTTGTAGTTAGGTAGGCTAGGAACCAGACGGTTCCAAGGAGCTCTCATTGTCTTCTTTTAGCATATTAGCAAAGGGAATTACTACGGTAGCTGTCATCTTGAATGAGTAGGAAGGCCTGGCCCCAGGGGAAAGAGAGAACAAAGTACGAGAGTGAAAAAGACAAGGAAGATTCTGGGGTATTATTAGTGTGGAGTCTGTGTTTTGGGCAGGAGGGATGGGGGAAAGGATCAGAGAAGTAAAGAACTTTGAAACCAAAAGAGACATCTAAGGAACATCTAGTCCAACCTCACTTTTCAGATGAGAAAACCTCTAGAATTGAAAGATACATATAGATCCTGCCCATTAAAGTCCTTCTTTCAATGGCCCAGCATAACATGGAGGGAAACCTAGGGTTTGTGAAGGCAACAGCCCAAGATAAGCCCAACAAGCTCTGACAAATTTTATCTAAATGGAGAGCTTTGTGTATGGTTTGGTCAACAGACTGAGTCAGGGATTGGTTGGAATACAAGTGCTTCCAAGGTGGGAAATTCATTTTTCGTACTAAGCAAGGTTGTGATCAAGGGATAGACACAAACTGGCAGCACTTAATTGAGACCAAACCACAAGAAAAATGATTTTCTCCAGCATCTCCTTGCTAACCATTGGAAAAATTTTGCCCCTCTTCCCCCAACACTCATTCATTCAGCATTGAAAAAAAAAAAACCATCTTGGTGCAGTGTAAAGACCATTGAATTTGGGGGTTGAATCCAGGCTCTGTCATTTATGTAAGTTACTGGGCCTCAGCTTCCTCATCTGAAAAATGAGGAAGTTGGAGCAAATGATCTCCAAGTTCCCTCCCGGCTTTGGTCTATATGTAATCCAATGGTCCTATAGTCAGTCTGCTTTCCTTTGCTTTCTTGGTTGTTTCTTTCCTAACTGTTCATACCTTTGTCCTAGGGACTGGAGTTTTATGCTCCTGGAGTTTGACGAAGTTTACTTCCTTCTGGAACTAGATCATCGAGGTTTTTTCTCAAATCAAATTACGCTTTCAAAAAAATTACTACTCCACATTACTAATTATTAAATTACCAATGCACAGTAAGAAAAACTAACCAGAAACAAAGGCTGACACAATTGTCAGCTCTTCAAGTGTTCTAACATCAAAATTTTAGAGGCTCTCCACGGCATGAGATAGCCAGGTCATCTGCTAGATTATAATTTTTTTCTGCTTCTGTGGCCACTGAATAATTAGATCCCCATGTCCCTAGTCTAGTGGACAGAAATCTGGACTAAGGGTTGGCTCCAATGCCTCAGTCTACACAGTCCTGGTAAAAGTCAACTTTTATCTATCTCAAAGTCCCCATCTGCTAAGTGGGAAGAGTATTTGCCAGCTAAGGACCTCACTGTGAAGATCGATGAGTCAATACAAAAAGTATTCAAGGGCTCAGGTAACATGGTTTGCCAAAGTTTTCCAGACCTACAATAAAGTGGCTCATTGCTGTGTAAACACTAGCTGCCACCGCCCCAAAGGTAGAGCAGGGCAAGCCCATTCTTGCCAAGTGGTATTCTCATTACCTTTATGCTTCTGCAAGGCCTTCTGGGTGGATTGAAGCACGGACTCATGAAACTGGTGTGCAAACTCTTCTGCCATGAAGGCCTCCCAGGGCTTGTTTTTCCCATTCACGCTGTGAGACAATGGGATGGGGATGTCCTTGGACAAGGAGCCCCGGACATAATGGAGCATGCTTAAGTTCTTCTTCCCACCATGGGCATCACTCATTCTGGCCTTCTCTGAGGCTGGATCCCCAACTCTCTGGAGCTCCTGGGGTCTGAGCTGTTCAAGTCTTCCAGGCTCTGCAGGCTTCGCGGCGTCAGATAAGGAGGCTGCAGTACTGATGGGTTTATCTGCATCTGCAGGGACTTGCTGCAGCGGCGGCTCTTTTAGAAACAAAAATTTAGAAAAATCATGAAGCACCTAGAGGATGCAACGTGCCATAAGAAGCCCCAAGCATATTGGCTAGTGCTCCATCCCAAGAAGGTTACACGTTCTAAAGAGAACAGCTTCCCAGGGGCTACTCAGAGCAAACGCTTGGAGATGGACAGAAAGTGGAACACGGAGGATCAAAAGCTCAACTGAAGACAGTTAATGTTTATTGAGCTACACCGAGCCCCATTTTGGGAGGTATCAATCTATGCCATAGGCCAGACTTCTAGTAAGAAAGGAGTCTGAAGGATGGATAGGGGTAATTTATGGCCTGGAAAGTAGGAGTCTGTTTATTCAAACTGGCCAAGAAAGACTACATCAGGGAGAGAAATGGAGGCGTCAGGATTAAGGAAGACGGTGAAGTGACCTGCTCTGATTGGCAGAGCTGAAAGGTGAGTAAAGCAATAAACAAAAGAGAAGAGATTAGAAACCAAGTGCTGGAGACACCCAGAGATCTAGACTAGAAGATAAGAAAGTCAAAGTATCCACGTAGAAGAGAGCAGGTACAGAGCAGGCAAAGAAGAGATTGATCCAGACAGTCCCCTTTCTATAGTTAAAAAAATTCAACTGAGAAAAACAACTACATGGGCATCCACTGACACACAATTAAGGCCAGCCTAAAGGTTCACTAATGGTTTTAGATGGGTAATTATTGCATTCAACTGATCCAGCAAAAGGTAGACCTTTGCACATTATATGCTTGGTCCAAATCAAAAAGGGCTGTGGGCCCCTCATCCTAGGACAGAGTCCTCACTTCTTAAGCTCCCAGAGGTCCCTCATTTCTCTTGACACCCACCCAGTCAAATGTCCTCGACCTTCGGTGTTTTTAATCACTTACAGAAGCAGAAAAGAATCTTCCCCACTCTTTTAGACCACAGGACTTTTGTACAGACAGAATGCTCTTCCATCCTTACGGACGTAGGACTCAAGGTGAAGAAGGGGCCCAGGGCAGTGTGCCAATCCACACATCCTGTGGGCAGCTCTGGCTGCCCTTCCCCGGCCCTGCCCCTTACCGCTCAGGGAGATAATGGGACTGTCCCTCGTAGCGTTTTTCACTGAGTCTGTCACTGCTGCTGACATTGTCTTCTGTTTCATGGCATGGAGCATTTCAACAAGTTTCTCTTTGTCTGTGAGAAAAGCAGCCTGGGATTAACGAGATTGTTGCATCATACAGGAGAGAGAGAGAGAGAGAGAGGAAAAGTGGGAATCGTAGCCGTAGGCCACGATCAGCCTTCCAAGAACAGGAAGCCAAGAAAAAAAGAAAAACCAAACCAAACATCATGTGTTAGGTTTGTGTTTAATGCACAGAAACCCCCAACTGAGAGGAGCCTATAGCAGCAAAGGTAATAAAAATCGAATTCTGGACTGATTAACTAGTCTTTCTTATCTCTACTTCTGTAACCTGGACTTGTACATCAGATGCCTTCCAAGAAATCTGTGCAATGACTTAGCAAGTGCTAAGTCAAAGAATGTCTGTCCATGGATTTACGTTCAGATACTGAAGATGCCTTTGTCTTGGAAAGACTTTGGGCCCAATATATTATAAAAATCACAGCTAAGAAGCCCAACCTTCACTGGAGGATGCACCCTTGCCCTGTCAGAGCTCAATTTGTGTCTGTGTGCACTGTATTTTCCTACACAACGACCCAAAATGAAGTTCCACTCACATGCCCTTTGAGGGTTCACCTAAGAGCAGACTGATTCAGATCAACCCTCTGCGCCATGTTATTGGGAATTCTGACACCATGAAATTTATACAGCCCTACTGGCAGTGGCCCTGCTCCTGGAAGCCAGCAGGACTATAGAGCTAAAACAGATATTGCCTTCTCTTGACAAAACTAAAGGCAGTGGGAGTTATTACTGATGGACACTGACAGCAGATCCCTGAGGTCCCTTGCTAACTTTAAGAGTTGATGATTCAACAGATGAACTGCCATTTCTTCAAGGAAAGAAGGGAAATCCTGCCTACTGATTGAAAAAGAACCAAGAAAGAACACAGTTATAAAAATGAATTCTGGATTGATCCACAGGGATTTTTGAAGGTTTTTTCTTTTCCCTCCTTCTTCTGTGATTTCTTTCAGAGATATTATTGGGCTAACGCTAAGCAAGCTGAATACTGGAAGGAACCAAAAATAGGGCTAAATGAATAAGCACAGAACGAGGCTGGCCGGTAGCCCATGTATGTATCTAATGTGGACTGTTCTGCTATACTTGCAGTAACAACTGTTTGGCCACATTCCTTAGCTGCTAACCTGATGTGTCAAAACCCATCATGTCTCAGGGTCAAGTAGACTTGCTTTCTCTGGCTCTCTGGTTGTAGTGGGAGAGGTGGAGGGTCAAGCTGGTGGCATTTCCCTCCCCTGGCACAATCCCAGAAATTCAAGGATTCTGTGTCTGCACAGTAATAGCTGGGTCCCCGTAGGCTTTGCCAGCAACTGATAATTATCTCCTTATCTTGCCCCTCAGAAAACAAAAGCCATTGAGACAAGCCAAGAGGATGTACCAAGAAGGAAAACTGATGGAGCCTAGCAGGAAAAAGAAGCTTGACTGTATCCACTGAGCAAGATGAATGGACAGAGTAGGAACCGACGGGCTGGTTTGAAGAAATATTCGTTCATTCTCCTAAGCAGAGCAGGATACTCTGCTACCAAGGTTACCTCTAGGGACCGACGTGGGTGGCTGGGACAACAGCCATCTTTCAAGATGATCAGCTATCCTCCGCCTCCACTGAGGAGGAAAAAGAGAAAAGAAGCCAAGATTTAGGATTGGTGTCAAGCTGAAAGTTGGACAGGATTACCTTCCTGGAGAGCTTTAAAGAACACGAGAGACAGAGGCACATCCCAGGTGACATAGGAACATATGCCTGCCTAGCAGCTAGAATGAAACGCGGAACTCGTGAGTCAGGAATGCCCCGATGACTGACTCAAGATAAGCTATTCATTTTGGTCGGTTTCATCTCATCTCATCCCACGGTACAGAAGAAGGAATGGCCAAAGCCCATGACCCAGACAGATGCCGCGGAGAGGGAAGGCTCCGGGGTATACCTCTTCTCTTCTCAGCACTGATGTGGGTCAGGTGGAAGATGGTCAGGAACCTCTTCTTCTCCTCAAAGTTGGGGCTGTTGTTCATCTCATCGGGACTGTAGCGAGTGGAGAGGGCGAGCCTGGGGGATGGGGTCTGTCGCTTGTTCTGAACCGCAGGGGGTGATGGGCTTCGCTCCCTCAGCATCCGACGCCTCTTCCTCCTCTTCTGCGTCAGTAACTCTTCCTTCTGCTGGCGGGTGGTCAGGCCAAAGAGCTGCAGGAACTCTAGCTTCTAAACGAGAGAAGTGACCAGACAGGGAAACAAAGTCAGTAAAAAACCAACCCAGGACTTTCCATCTCCACCGTCATCTGGTCTCGTCTGCCTCCGAGCACCCTGAATCCTGCCGTACCTCACAGATACTCTAGGGATGGTGGGCTGCCTCCAAAAGGCAGCAGTGAACCACAAACATGGTGATCAATCACGTGAAAGGCCCCAGGAGGACACGACTGACAGAAGTGGGGAAAAAAAAAAAGGCATATGTGAACAATTTGTGAAAAATGCCATTTGCCCTCCAGGTGAAGGATGAGGGAATGATAATTGCTCATATTTCCATAATGCCTGGAGATTGACAAAGGCCTTTCTTCACAACTGTCCCATAACGAGTCTCATCTTTACTTTACAAATAAGGAAACTGAGGCTTAGAGTTTTCTTAAGTGACTTGCCCACGGGTACAAAAGCCAGTAATCATCAGAATTACAATTTAAAGCCCAAATCATTGATGGCTGCCTCTGTAATTGACAGAGAGTGAGGAAGGGAAAAATTGTTTCCTCAAGAAAATTGGATTATAGCCTATGGGAGAAACCCAGGCCAACTCCATTATACATCAAGTAATAGACAGGGGAGAGATTATTACCTCCTAGGGGAGGTGTGATGTGGCAGGGCTCAGAAGCCTTAGCTCTCTTCTACAAATGCCACCTCCTATAGGAAACCATTCCTGATTTTCACCCTGACCCCCAAGCACAGAAGCTACCTGAGGGCAGAGACTGTTTTATCTTTGCATGGCACTGCCTAGCAGAGCACCTTGCACATAGCGGGCCCTTCCAGAATGCCTGCTGGATTAGACTGGGTTGTCCGCTCAGAGCCCTGGCCTTCTGAGAACCACTACAAATACCACCACTGGGAGAGAAAGCTGGAGATCCAAAGGGCTGCTCCTGTGGGCTAGGCAACCCCACTTGCAGACTGACAGGAAATCCACTCTAGAACTGTGTTGGAGGGGCAGCTAGGTGGCACAGTGGATAGAACACCAGTCTTGGAGTCAGGAGTACCTGAGTTCAAATCCGGCCTGAGACACTTGACACTTACTAGCTGTGTGATCCTGGGCAAGTCACTTAACCCCACTGCCTAGCAAAAACCAAAAAACAACAAAAAAAGAGAACTATGTTGGGATTTGGATGCCTTGCACAGATCTCAATCTGCTTACCCCAAGGGCATGGTCATGAAAGATGTGGTATCTGCTCAGTGTCAGAATGAGACTCTATGGGCGAGCCTTGGCTCCTATGCCTTGCTAAGTCACGTCTGCCATGTTGGTTCAACCCCCGTGGTTGTGTTCTTCTGCACCAAGAGAAATCAACTAGTTTCACATCCCCTATCCTCTCCCTCAAAATCACACACCTGTGGGACACGAGACTGTACAATTCCGAACCTGGAGGGGCATCCTCCCACCACACACCCTTCACGTGCTTCCCTCTTCTGTTGAGCTCCGAAAGCTACAACATTGCCAGAGGTTAGATAAGACGGAGGGAAGACCCAGTGACAGATCTCAGGTTTGATGAAGCTTGTTTATATTCAATAACAAATTCACTCCCACCTCTAAGGCCTTTTCACTACACAAGGATTAGTATTTCCCAACCTCGGTAGGTCACAAAAACCTCTCTCTGCTAAGTGGGAAATGTCCCTGGCTTTCCTCACTGTCCTTCTGATGGCATTTTCTTTCTGGATAAAGGATGAAGTTACAATGGTGGAAGAGGCCAGAAGACTGGGGCTTAGACTCATGGGGGCACACGCACACAAGGAAATGTTTCCTCAGCAGAGGAAGCCCCCCAAAAGGGAAAAGGACCAAGGTCCCTTATCTGGGAAGGATCCTGAGCCATGTCTTTGGATTCCAAGTCCAGGGTTCACTGCACTGTGCTGCCATTAAAATGGCGACAGGGATTTCCAGAGGTCAGACCAACAGATGGATTTCACGTGGAGGAGTGATGGAGAGCAGAACCAAGCTCACAGGTAGACAAGGGTTGAGAGAAAAACTTAGCAAAACACCACCGCCCGGCTAAAGAGCTTATACAAAGCCTTTGGGACTGTAGCATGAGAACAGTGGAGCCAAGATACCTCAGACGACGTGTCTAGCTTGAGGGGCGGCTGCTCAGCAACACATCTAAGGTGGGCTCGGACTTCTTCTTCATCACTCTCATCATAAGAGTCATCAAGGTCATAGTAGTAGCCTGAAATCAATCAAGGAGTGAAGATTTACTGAGTGCCTACTATGTGCCTAGCAGCTTGCCAGGACTGAAATACATGAGGCATGTAAGTATGGAGTCATCCATTTAGAACAGGAAAAGGACCTTGAAATTAATCTAGTGAAAGCCCTTGATTTTTCATATGGGTAAAATGAGGCCCACAGAGGTTAAGTGACTGGCCTAAGGCCACACTGGTAGGAATGTGCTGAACCCAAGTCCTCTGACTTCAAATCCAGTCTGTTTTTCCACTCTTTAGTCACATATGAGTCTGGGAGGACATCAGGAACAAATGTGTGTGTGTGTGTGTGTGTGCGCATGTTTTATGAACTCCTGTTGGCTCTGAATTGAGAAATCAGATGGACTAATTGACTCACAGTTACCGGGCAGGCACTTTTCTGGTCTCTAGGTTATGATCATAAGATTCAAAAGCCCCAGTTCACATCCAGAGTGCCCAGTGTACAGGGAATTACATTCTCTAATTATGGAATTGCACAAGGCCAGAACTGGAAGGGATCATAAGTGACTATTCAATCCCCTCATTTTACAGGAGGAAACTGAACCCAATAAAGGCAGTGACTTGCCCAAGGCCAATCAGCTCAGCAGCAGAGGCAGAAGGCAGTCCTCATGGCCATCTCATTGAGATGTCGTAGTTGGTACTTGGATAATGTATATTATATTTTCTAGGCATGTCACATATTTCATGAAGAGTAGGGGTACTTAACCTGGGGTCCAGGAACTTGGTGTTTTGTTAAAAACACAAAATCAAAAACTTGACAACTACATTTCAATGATTGTCTTCCACGCATTTAAAACCGTGATTTACAGGGGTCCACAGGCTACTGTACCAGACTGACAACAGTGTCTAGGGCACAAAAAAGGGTAAGAAGAGCAATACCCAGGGAGCTCTGGGACCCCTCCAAGCACCACGTCCAAATCTCTTGCCCTGGTATTCAAAGCCAACCAGAGGATGCCCCGGTCCTTTCAAGCTCTTGTAATCTATTTCTCTTTCCTCTTGCTCCTAACATCCCTTAACCCAGCCCAAACGGCTTTCTTCCAAACTCAGACCCTCCTCTCCTTCTTTAAAGTAGTCTAAACGAATAACTCAATGGTTTAGAAACAAAACAAAGGTCTACTAAAGGACTCCAGGATTTACAGTAGGAAGTGACCCTTCAGATGATTACAAGGAAGACACTGTCTTCAGCATCTCCTTCTCAAAGGTCTATAAACCGAGTTCAACTAGGCAACCTGAGGTCCCCAGCTCTAAATCTGTGACCCCATGACTATCCCATTCCTGACTTCTTCAGAAGCTCAGAACCCTCCACCCCTGTGGCTCAACTTCTGATTGGATGACTCCTCCCAGAATCTCTACTTGAAGGGGGGAAGGGAGCAGGTGGGCCACTTCCTATTCTTGGAGGGCTTTCCCCTGGACTTCCTTTATCATGCCCCCACCATGGGCACCTTTTGTGGTCTCCCCCACCCCACCCTCTTTTCATTTTCTTTTTAGGTGTAAACTTCTAGAAGACGGGGATTGTTCCTAGCACTCAGCACAATGCCTGGCATTTTGTATGTGTTTAATAAAGGCTACTGATTTAACTCGACTTGCTTAACATCTCTGAGGTTAACAAGTCTCACAACTTGGATTCAAATGAGGTCCAGTGACTCCCACTCTAATGCTAACGCTCCCTCCCCTAGCGCTCTCCTCATTTGAGAGCAGTGAACACCAAGCTCCCTGTGACGATAACAGCAATGAGCTGGCTGAGACAACAGAGTTCTAAGGCCTGCTTCTTTCTGGTCAGACCGGCTATGCAGGCGCACCCAGCCAGCTACCAGCAGAGCGTATCCCGAAGGCCCCAAGGCTCTGGCCCTGGGCTCCTTCCTGCTCACCTGTTCCTCTTGGCTGTCTGGGGGGAAGAGAAACAGTGGCCAAGATGGCCCCAACCCTACGGAAGGAGCTGAAGGCAACATGGGGAAGGAGCCCTGTGGTGACAGTTGGATGGGAGGGGGAGCCAGCTGAGGTTTAGGAATGAAGGATATCGCCACTGCAGGGCTTCTGCCATTTGTCATGGCGGCCCAGAGCCCCCACTGCTCAAAGGGCCCTCCCCCCGGTTGTTGTATCCTCCTATTATGCAGGACTATTAATATTTAAAACCATCTTATTAGCCTCAGTTCATCATTTATTAATTGTGCATGTCTGGAGAACAGGATTTACAGATAGGCTTTGATTCGGCTTTCAATACAATTTGCATAGAGGATGGGCCAGAAAGGTTCCAGGGGTCTGTCTACTCAGAGGTGTCAATTAGCTACTGAGAAGCCATCTGAACTCACTACTTGGGGTTTATTAAAATCCTAGGAGGTTTCCCCTCCACCCCCCACCCCCTTGTCTAATTATCTATCTTTCAATAGGCTGACTTGGGGGAATTAGAGCTCCTATCTCCAACTCACGGAGCTGAGGGTTCCTGGATCCAGAATTGGTGGTGAAGGGGGCACTGAGAGGGCCCTGGCTGGAAAGGGAACTGACCTTTCTCTTGGGCTTCCCGCCGCCTGCGCTCCTCCAGGTCCAGTTTGCTGACCAGCTTCCGATGCTGTTGTAAGAACTCGTCGTAAACATACGTGGGGTCAGGCCCTCTGGGGAGCTGGGGCCGATATGGAGAGCTGGGCTTTGGAGGCACGCTCACATCAGGGAACTGTCCAGGCTGGGGGAGAGTTGCTCTCTGCTGGCTGAGGATGGTCTGAGTGGACTTCTCCAGTTCAGCCAAGAAGGGCCCGTGAGCATACCCACTGGGTTCCAATGGCCCAGGCTCCCTGAGTGGTTGGTATTTGTCCAGGCTTGCCTCCCTCTTCCTAGTCCCCTCTTCAAGCTTCTCAGGGCAGAAAACTCGTTCCACCTTAACCAAGGGGATGGCTTGTCGGCTGGGCTCAAACGGAGCTGGGTGGGTATGGAGAGAATGGTTTTCTTGTACCCTTCGTGGTTCCAGGGCGTTTTCCATCAAGGTTACTGGATTCCAGAGTGAGGTTGGCATGGGATGGTGCTGAGGTTTGGGGGAGATGAGGGGCGGGGGCCCTCCAAAGTGCTGTGGCTGGTCTCGGCTGCTTGGCTCATGACGATTTGGTCCCGGTCTGGGGAGAGAACAGAGTGACCCATAAGAAATATAAGTACTGTGTGAGCAGAAATCAAACACACCCTGACGTCACCCACATACCTACCCTACCTCCCTGGGCTGTTCATGGGAGCTCAGGTGGATGTTTGCTAAAACGCCTGACAATTTGAGGCAATATCTAGAGTTTTGGAGTTGACAGAAATTTTTAAGATCACCTAACTTCAGTTTCCTATTTTCACACAGGAGATAAGAGGTCCAGAAGAAAGAAGTGACTTAGCTAAGATCACGTAGCTAAGGCCAGTGATTTCCAATTCCCAGTATGGACTGAGCTCTTTCCATTAACCCACAACAGTTTCTCAACATGATTCCATTCCCAACTATCTCTCAAGAAAGGAAGTGGGGCCTTGTTGAGAGAGCCCAGAACCTGGTATCATAGGATATGGGCTTAAGTCCTGACAATGAAACCTTGGAGAAGTCACCTCACCATTTAGAGCCTTGGCTTCCATATCTACACTGGGGATAACACCTGCACTTCAAAGGATTGTTAGGATGCTTTCTGAGTGCAAATTTGTAGGCCTTTGATCTGTGGACAGGCAATCTCCCCAGTGAGGCCTCTTTTTTGTCACAATTAAAATATAAAACCATCTATTTCCTCACTTGTTCTGAGAAATGTTTGTGAAGTCCTCTGAGGGTTGTGGAAGACAGGTGGCATCTCATCATAACAGGGTCATGTAGTACAGAGGAAAGAAAAGTCATAGGGCCTCGGTTCAAATCTTGTCTGGAACTTTTATTACCTAATGTGACCTTGGGTCACATGCTTAACCTCTGTGGGTCTCAGTTTCTTCATCTATAAAATGATGGGGCTGGATGAGATAACTTCTGAGGACCCTTCTAGCTTTAATTCTATGGTCTTATGATCTTTAAGAGAATACAAAACAACAATAATTACTCATTTTTGTCTTCTCCTGCTGCCAGCTGAATGTCCCACTTATAAACTGTTGGTCTGAAGAGAGCATTTGAGAAGGAGATGAGGATTCAGCTACCATTCAGAAGCCCAGGGTCTATTGGGTTAAAGGTACCTAGGATGGGACATGTCTTTAGCTATGCTAACACCCAGTGGGTGCTGGGAAAACAGCATTAGCCTCACAAAGCAACTGGCCACAGGGGAATGTTTTTATGTAGATCCCTTAGAAATGTTTTACATACATTATCTAATCCCATTCTAACAAACAACCTTGTGAGGCAAGTAATGCAGGTATCACTATTCCCATTTTATAGATGAAACAAACCCAAAGACACCTTGTGCCCAAGCCAGGAACCCACCCCAGCTGAGGGCTTCTGGCTACAGATACCAGTTATCTCCTGTACCTGGCTGCCTCAAATGTCCTTTCAAAGGCCCTTGGTTACTTGGCCTGTTCTTCAGGCTATGGGTTACTAGGTTAGGATAGCTTGACCTGAGGTCAGTTGGGGTATCCACTTACCACAGGTTTGTTTTCAGTGTTAAGCAAAGGCAGAGTAGGAGAATTACAACACACACAAAAGACAAATCAGGAGGAGAGAAAGCTCTTTCATCAATAAAAGATTCTGCAATTTACAAGATGATCCACCACAGGAATCCTTTCAATAGCCAGTTCCCCCCAACTAAGTCATTTGGAAATGACTTAATTCACAGACTTTGGAGTTATACTCCGCTCCTCTAGGAGCAAGGAAGTGAGGTATGCCTAGATCCTCATCTCCACGTTGTCAGGGCAGTCTGTGCCCAGGGTATCATTAGACAGGCAGGAAAGGGGGCAATCCTCATCTCCCTCCCCTGTAGGCTCTGGAAGAAATGGTATGGCAACCAATGCCCAGATGTTTGGTGAAGATGGGGGACTGCCCTTGAGCCAAACACAAAAGCCACCTCCTTCCCTTAATTCTGGGCTGACTTGGGGTTAAAAAGACAAACATAAAACCTAGCTTCTAGATCACCCAAGTACAAAAGGGAATGATACCGTGAAACTGTTTGTTCTTAAGTAAATGGCCAAGGAATAAAAACCCGTTAGCAGAATAAATATTTCATGCACCAGCGCGAAGCATTTAACAGTTTTCCGGCTCAGAGAACAAGCCCTCCACATGTCAGAACATCGAGTTCAGATCATTGCTGAAGTCGGAATTCAAGATGCCAAGGGAACTACAGCTAAGCTTTAGGAGTGGCGCCCCTTTCTCCTCCTCCTTCCCCCCTCCTATGGAGGACCCTTCCCTCATGCACTGGTCCAGCTGGAGAGACCTTCGTATCTTAGACAGGCAATTCCGTATCCATGGGCTTCCATTAACAGAATGAGTGGCTGGCTGAGAAGCTTTAATGGATCTTTTAAAGGGGGGTAGGGGGGTGGGGGGGAGAAGGAAAGCCCAGTTGAGAGACAAAGACAGCCTACAAGTTTCCTTCGCAAGGCTGATATCTCAACCCTCCAAGTATGAGTCATCTTCAAAGGCCAAAGGGCTCCTTCATAAACAGTTACAGGTTTCTATATGGGAATATAGATATATCTTATCTATACAATAAGATATATCTTATCTACACATCCATTTTGGGAGAGGATGCAGCGTGGGGGTAGGGGATGAAAGAAATATGGAAGGTACTAGAGGGTCCAAGTCAGGTGTACCAAAATTAACAAGCTGCTGGTCCCCCCCCCCCCACCTCTGCCCAGGCCCTCATCTCTCCCGCGCGAAGAGCAGAGGTGACCTCAACCTTTTAGCTTTTCAGGGGCTGTCAGAGGGACAGAATGAAATAATTCCACAAGAGTGGAAGGCTGGAGGGAGGATCTGCCATTGTTGGGCAGGCCTGAAATCCGCTTCCTATTATACCTGATTAGTTTAACTAATCCCCTTGCTGCCCCAAAATAACAATAGAATCCAGGGGCAGAACTGACTGGATGCCGCAGCCCTGTTTAAGCACTCAGCAGCGGAGCAAAGAAGGCTCTGTCAATCAGCCAAAAGGTTGAAGGAAGAAGAAAAGGGGGGCTGGGGGGAGGAGGGGTATGGAGAGAGAAGATAACAAAATCAGGTTGAATTTAAAGATACAGAGGCCCCTTCAGCTGGATTTAGAATATTTTCGAGATGGAATCAATCTTTAGAGATTATCTCATTCCACCCCCTCGTTTTTGAGATGAAGAAACTGAGGCTCAGAAATAAGTGATTTATGCAAGGTCACATACAGCAAGTGAGCAGAGGCAAACCTCAGAGCCTGGGGCTCCTAATGGCCAACTGTGTTCCCCTTCAACAGCCATTTTACTGTGAATGTGACGCTAGCTTTTATACCTCCGGGCTTCCACAGGGAAGGTCAGTGTTCCCACTCATCTATGGAAGCTGTAAATTTAGCTCTCGGTAAAAGTCAAGGACTGGAAAGCGGCAGTCTGAATCACAGAGTCCGTTTGGTGCTGGGGTGAGGGAGATCTGGGAGACGTAAAGTCTGACCCCTGACCCAGGGATTACACTCTACCTCTGACACCTATAACCCGTGGGAACCCCTTAATAGCTTTGAGGCCGTTTCCTTTTCAGTAAAAAGAAGCTAACAATCACGGCATTAGCCTCCCTCACAGGGCTGTTTTGGGCAGAAAGCTTTATAAACCTTCCTTAAAGCCAGAGAATTATGAAGCCTATTAAAAGTAGTCAGAGTGGAGAGCCTTCAATAACAATCACCAGGAATTCCCTAAGAGCAGTACAAGGGGAGAGGATGGTAGCTCAGGTTGATTGAGATCAGGAACCCCCCAACTCAAATTTCTACCTTCCCCCAACCAGACTCAGCTGGTGAGTCCTAGGAACAGGTGACAACAGTATAGGTACTCCTCCTCTTCAGGGCTAAAATACTAGTGAGGATACAGTGCTGGTGTTGGAGTCAAAGATCTGAGTTCTAATCCTGCCTTAGACAGGATTAGCTGTAAGACCCAAGACAAGTCACTCAGCCTCAGTTTCCCCTATCTGTGAAGTGGCAAAATAACAGCACCTCTCTCACAGGGCTGTTGTAAGGACCAAATAAGATATTTGTAAAGTACTACTTAAATGCTAACTATTAATATCAAGGGTAGCTAGGTGGTACAGTGGATAGAGTACCAGGCCTGGAGTCAGGAAGACTCATGTCCCTGAGTTCAAATATGGCCTCAGACACTTTATAGCTGTGTGACCCTGGGCAAGTCACTTAACCTTGTTTGCCTCAATTTCCTCATTTGTAAAATAAGGTGGAGAAGGAAATGACAAACCACTCCAGTATTTCTGTCAAGAAAACTCCAAAAGGAGTCATGAAAAGTCGCACACAACTGAACAACAACATTAACGTCAATTCCCCCGAAGGATGGGAATCAGCATCAGGCAGGTGGCTCTGTGGTGATTATGTGGCAGATAGGTAGTTCCATCGTACTCCCTGATGGAAATGGTTGGTTACTCAGTGTCCCCCTGAGCAAGACTTCTCAACTTTTTTGTCTCATGGACCTCTTTGGCTGTCTGGTGAAATAACAGACCCCTTCTCAAAATCATGTTTTTAAACTCATAAGGATAGGTAGGAGGGAATACAATTACATTGAAATAGTTATTTAAAAAAAAAAGTTTGTGGAGCCCAGATTAAGAAGTCCAATCTAGAGAATCCCTCAAAGGCTGGGCCAGAGTTTGACAATGTGAGCAGAGCAGCTATCAGAGGTTACAAAGCCTTGCTTGGAGCCCCAACCCCCACCCCTACCCCAGATTCTCTGGGCCTGAACGTCGGCCTTGGGCCTTCCCAACACTGCCTGCAGGTGGTACCTGGGGTTCTCAGGCCTATGTTCGGGCTCTGTTGGAGCCGGGGGGCGGCTAATGTCAAGATGCTGCTCCAAGACCTGCTGTCGGAACTCCGACACCTGGGACTGCCGGTCTTCCTTCTCTTGCCGAAGTCTCCTTTGGCGAGCCAGCCACTTCTCTTCCTCATTCGTGCGCTGGATCAGCAGGGCTGTGGCTGCACTGCTCCCGGGAAGGGGGAAGATGCTATGGTTGGAGATGAGGCTGGGCACTGGGTGATGGGAGGCGGGGGTCGGGTGCAAGGGGTGCTGGACGGCCTTGGGGGTCTGCAGGGCAGGCTCCTTGAGTTTCTCTGCAGGGGGAGGAAGAATCATCACCGGAATGTATTACGGATCTGACTCCTGAGTTTGCTCAGTCCTCTTCCTCCTTCCCCCCTACTTCACCTTTAACTAACCAAAGATGTTATTTTACTTGATTTCGTTTGCCAGGGGCCTCTTCTGTTGACTAGAAACAAGAGAATACAAGTGGAGTAATTTTGGCCACGTGAATATTACAAGTAGTGTATTCTACCCTTAGAGAGACAGTATGGTGTAGGGACTGGAAAGGCAGTCTTGGGAATCAAGGAAACCTGGGGTGGAAAGTCCTGCCTTGGACAACCAACCATACCATACTGCTGATCTTCTCAGAGGCCCCAGGCAGCTCTTAAGACCAGGAATTACGCTGTATCGATGGAAGGAATTTCCACACCAGGAGTTCACTACTTCCACGAGGTTAGACTGAAGACATTCTACCACAGACTCCAAAATAGCCTTTGGTCATCTCTAAAATTCCTCAATAGCCAAGAGCCAATCAAGTCCATTCTGTGGCATTTAAACAGTCCATTTACCTTCTCTACCATCACTAAAGAGCCTAAGGCAACAGCCCATGCATCTACCTCCCAGACCTGACCTGGAGGCCAGGCTAAGGCTTTGGGGCCATAGTCACCTGGTCTGTTTGGTGTGAGTTGCTCTGGAGGTTTCACCCGATCCTCTCCTGGAAGGACGCGTAGCCCATGCAGCTCGGACACTGGCAGGAACTGATTCTCCATGGTCTTGACCATCAGCTCCTTCTCTCGGGCTCGCTCACGTTGTCTCTCTAGTTCCTTTTCTCTTTCCCGCTCCCTTTCCTTTTCCCGCTCTCTTTCCAGTTCTTTTTCCCTTTCTCTCTCCCTTTCCCGCTCCTTTTCTCTCTCCCGATCAGCTTCCCTTTCTCGCTCCTTTTCCCGTTCCCTCTCTCGTTCTCTCTCCCGTTCCCTCTCCCGTCTCAGCTCTTCATCCATCTGTAATCTGAAAAGGAAGAATGATGAAAAAAAAATAAGTGGAGACAAAGGTCAATCCATAAAAACAGAGTATTTCAGAAAAAAAAAAAGCAACCTAGAAATAATTGGCAAGTTATCCCAAGAACTTAATAAAAGCAGTTTAGTATGTGAATTTGCAATGGATGTATATATCCGTATATGTTTATGTATGACATATATGTATATATAATTTAAGCACTCTTCTGGAATCAATAATTACCATTTGGTAAAACTGGGATTTCTATGAAAATGATATAGAAGTGGGATTTAAATTGATATCAAAGGTCATTAAGGACATCATGGATGAATGGGAGACACTCAGGTGATTCCTGACCCAAAGATGACATTCACACGACAGTGAAAGAATCAGAGAAAGGTCTCTGGGTCATTGAGTGAATCCTCAACGGAAGATTTATGGAAAAATATGGACAAGACCTGCCCAGGATGGTGAGACCGGGGGAGGGTAGGACCGACCATGGCAGAATGAGGACCATGCAATGATGATGGATCCCAGATCCTTCTAATATAGAAGATCCTTCTATATAGAACATGGTCCCCTTTGGCAATCTAGTGAATGCTATGGAACTGTCCTCAGGCTAATGTTTTTAAAAGCATAAAATAAAATTTAAAACCACAGGTTTACAAAGGAAACAAGTTATACTGAAATATACCTAGCACATTGTGCTGTAAGAAATGACGAGCAGCATGATTTCAGAAAAACCTGAAAAACTCAAGCAAAGTGAACTGAGCAGAACCAGTAGAACATTGTACATAGTAACAGCAACATTGTACAATGATCAACTGTGAATAACTTAGCTATTCTCTCTCTCTCTCTTTTTTTTTTGCAATTGGGGTTAAATGACTTGCCTAGGGTCACACAGCTAGTAAGTGTCAAGTGTTTGGTCTGAGGCCGGATTTGAACTCAGGTCCTCCTGACTTCAGGGCCGGTACTCTATCCACTGCGCCACTTAGCTGCCCCAACTCAGCTATTCTCAGCAATATAATGATCCAAAACAACTCCAAAGGACTCATGATGAAAAATGTTATACACATCCAGAGAAAAAAACTGATAGGAGTCTGAATGCAGATCAAAGTATACTTTTTTCACTTTCGTGTGTGTGTGTGTGTGTGTGTGTGTGTGTGTGTGTGTATTTTTCTTTTGCTCTGTGTTTTCTTCTACAACAGGGCTAATATGGAAATATGTTTCACATGATTACACATGTATAACCTATATCAAATTGCTTGTCTCAGGGAGGGGGATGTGAGGTAGGAAGGGAGAAAATTTGGAACTCAAAACTATTTAGAAATGAATGTTAAAAATTGTCTTTACATATAATTGGGGGAAAATAGTATCTAAAAAAAAGAAAGAAAGAAATCCACCTAGCCAAATATTTTCTAAAGAAAAAAAAAAGAAAGAAAAAAATGAAACATCAAGTTAATGGAACCCAGGTTAAGAAGCCCTGGTATAAGATGTCCTGAGATAGACAAAGACAAAGCTCTATGCAGGATGCTCTTCTTCCCACAAAAAAACCCCAAACCATGACATTTCCACAATAGAACAGACTTTACCTCTCTGCAGTGAGACTTGACATCCGCTCTGTCTGCAGTGCTGAGAGGGATGAGTGAGAGAGCTCCGCAGGGTACCTAACCCCTGACAGGTGGAGGTGCATAGCTGATGGGTGTAAAGGAGGCAACGAACCGGGGGTTGGGATCGGGTAGAAGGGGGACCGCAGGGCTGAAAGGCAGTAGGAATCATCCACCCTGGGGAGAAGAGAGAACAGTCAGTACCACACAATGGACGGTATATGAATACAGGAGAACATGACCATAACCACCACTTGGAGGTGGGACCTTGACTCAATCTTGGGCAGCCATAACCAGGGAACTTCAGAGAAGACAGATATATTTTATATCCAGAGTGATATTCGTTTAGAGTAAAGGTTCTTAGCTATATTTGTATCATGGACCCCTCTGGCAGTCTGAGGAAGATTATGGACCCATTCTTAGAATAATGCTGAAAATAAATTATAATACGACAAGGGACACCAAAGGTGAGTGAAAATATGTAAACTTCCCCCCCCCCCATTCAAATTCGTGGACCACCTGAAATTGGTCTGTGGACCCCACGTTAAGAGCTTCTGTTTCAGGGAATCTTAAGGCAGTTTAGGAAAGTAGTTTCCTGTGTCCAGGGAAAAGTTACGATATGGAAAGAGGCACTGATATTATTAAGGTCAAAGAATAAATGAGAAAGTACGACCTAAGCTAGGTGGGTCAACTGCCAGGAAGAGGTGAGGGTTCATTCTCTTGAGGACAGAGAACATTGCCTCTGGGCTACTGAGATACGGGCCACAGAGTTCCAGTGGAACCGATCCAGTACAAAAATAAGACCCTTGGCCAGCCACAGGTCTGAGTTACAGACTTGAAATTTGGGGAAGTTGGTCTGTCAAAGGCAACTGACAGCACCTTCAACTATACTGACTATCCCCACCTTCCTGCTCAAAGAGTGGACACAGCTGACCTCTGACTGAATGGTCATGGATTACAGACAACAGAAAGTCAAATCAATATGTGTACGATCTTCATCAAAGCACAATGATCCAGATAGGATGCCCAGATTAATAGTCACCTTAGCTCTGGGGTGAAAGATGCAATCCTATTACTTTATGGTCTATAGTATAGTATCCTAATATACTGTATCTTACAGTATAGAGTATCCTAATATACTGTATTTTACAGTATATAGTATAGTATCCTAAATACACAATACTTTATAGTGTAGAGTATAGTATAATTTACATGGGCATCTGGTTAGAATTGAGATGAGATTCTCAATGAATTCACTGCATATGATCTGAAAGTATTTATTAAACATCAACTACATGCTAGGTGCTGTGCTAAGTGCTGAGGACAGACATGGAAGCAAGAATCCCTGACCTTCAGTAAGTTACCTTTTAATGATGTAAGTAAATTGGAATCTTACCTATTACTTACTGCTGATACCTTGAGGGGCCCCTAAAACATAAGGCCTCTATACCAGATTTACCCTGGGAACCTAGCAATGGCTCAAACAGGACTAGTTTTAAATCCTGCTTTGGGTTATGGGAAATGACCATCCTGGAAAAGTTTTCTTGTCATGAAAACAGAACAAAACCAAAAATACCTGGAGAACTAGGATAAAGGGGAGAATCCAGCCAGATTTCTGGGTAAATTTCAAAGCCATTGCTCTGTGACTAGATGGCCTTGTGGGGATTTTGACATCAGTAACACTCAACAAAGAATCGTGGTTGGCCGGAGAGTGAGGAGGAACAGGAAGGGAGACCCCTCCTCTATCTTCGCTGGCTACTGTCCTTACCTGAAGGCGGGGTGTGGGAAGGGATGAGGGGCTAGGTAGCTGGGGTGGTAATAGGCAGCGGCAGTGGCTGGATCGAGGCTGATGGGCGGCAGCGAGGACATGCGGAGGTCTTCTGTCGTGTGGTAAGGTCGGAAGCTCCGCAGATAGTCCTCGGTGACGGTGCTGGGGGGGACCACATGATGTACAGGGCGCTGGAGGCTGCTGGGGAGAAGATGAGACAAGAGGGGCAGCGGAGGTTAGCAGAAAGTTGTTTTTCTAGTCTAGGAAATTCATTAACCTATCTGCTCTCCTCTCTTCTGGTTCACTCAGGAGGGCTGCCTGCTTCTGCTCTTTCATCGCCAGGAGGGAAGACACTCTAACGAGATACTGCTCTTTAGGGAGGAGGCCTGGGGCTGGGAGCTGGACCAGCTGCTGGAAAGGCAGAGTCACAGCTGTCCTGCGGGCCACCCCTTGGGCTATCCCTCCTGCCTTTGGCCTTGGTGACCAGATCAGCCTCCCTGGGTGCCCCAGGAGAGCCACGAGGTGAAGTGACTGACATGTGGCTGTCCTTAGCACTTCTGAGCTCAGACCAAAGGACCTCAGCTACCCGGGGAATTCCGGCTGCAAACATCTGAATGGGAGGTTCTCTGACAAAGTCAATCAGCGAGGGAGCGAGCGATTCTTAAAAGGAAGTGAATGAAAAGCAACCACAGATTGTGATCAAACAGGCCCCCCTCCTGGGGTGGAAGCTTGGGACCATCTGCCAGGGCTCTCGCCTTAATCTACTCCAGACACATTCACCCCTGGCAGGGAGTGTAGTGAACAGAGAATGGACAGTGCCCTGGTCCCAAGCCCTTAGCATCTGGGGCTGTTCCAAAGATTTTCCAGGGAAATCGGTCCCAGCGGCATCTGCCCCCATCCCTTCCCTATCGCCTGCTAACTCACTTCAGCGGTGGGAAGCGGGAGTCCTGAACGACAGAGCTGGGGGGGATGCTGAAGGGGTAAGGAGAGCTCAGGAGGTGGGATGGGATGGCCGGCCCCGCTGCCTTCTCCTGAGCCAGGGGCGGCTCCACGATCAACCGGTCTCTGCTGCTGCCACTTCTACATCCTGCTTCTTGCTGTGAGAACAGAAACAACAGGGCCACGTCAGAAGAGGGGGAAAGGGGCCTGGAACAAAGAATGAAGCCAGATGGGTCTGGCGAGAGGGCCGTTCCGCAGCATCCTCTGGTCAAGGGGTCTACTGTCAAGCCTCCTCTCTGGAGAAGCCTTACATCCAAACCTCAGGAAACCTAAGAACCCAAATGCATTTCACAGTCTAAAAATGGCTTTTCTTGTGACGATGTCCACTCAGGACACGAATAGCAAACACTAGTGATAGCACTACAGCACATGCGCCCGTGCACACACAAACACTCACACACACACACAAACACACACAACATCCAGTCACATCCCCTCCTCCCCAATCAAATGACTTTCCAAAGCAGTCATTTCCATGCTGGGATTGTGATACTCTCTGTCCTACAGGCATTATGGAAAGGGATAGGCTTCGGAAACAAGACCCAGAGGGTTGAAGCCTCCCTAGGTACCCACAGCTCCTGGAAATGAACTTTTCAACTCAACGTCAGGAAACACGGTGGATATCCTGCTCCAAAAGCCTTTAAGAGCCCTCCACAATATGAACCCAGCCAGCCCCTAAAGTGACACAGGCATCAGCTGTGACAGCAGCTGCTTGGTTGCCATTACAGAGATCCTGGCAGTCCCGATGCCCACACAGAGAGAGACAGGGGGCATCAGGAAGCTGGCACTGCTACTGGGGTCGAACAGGCCGGTCTGCAACCAGCCAGTCCCTGGGGTGGCCCTGGTATCAGCTGCAAAGGCAGCTGCTCTGCCTTGGCCGATCCAGCTCATTTGGTAACTCTAACGCACAGACACACACGGAGGAGGGAGAGGAGGGCTGGACCCCACGGTCCCTGCAGCCGGCCCCTCCACTCCTGGCTGCCAGAGGGGCCTCAGCCAGAAACAGCAGATTCTGCACAGGGCTGGACTGAAACAGGAAAGAGAGAAACCAACTTCAAAGGACTCAGAATGGTGAAGAACAGGTGGGGATTTAAGGACCAAAGGCCTCCACCATTTCCGGGAGTCCTCGGCAGCAAGGTCACCGCGAGTCACCATCTAGATTAAATGCGGGGGCTCAGGGGCCCTGAGGAAAAGAGACAGTGTGGTTCAGTGAGTTTAGCGCCAGGCTGAAGACAACCTATGAACTCACAGTACCAGAGACCAAGGGATCTGGGTCCATTCAACCCAAGTATATTAAGAAAGAGAAAACTGATATGAGACTGAGAACCTGGAACCAAGACACCCACCGAAGTGTATTTAATAGTCATATAAATACCTGATGGCAGGGTTTCTAATTTGGGGGGGGGGGGGGGGATTGGGACACACAGGTGTTGTACAGCATAGACTGATTCTTCAGAACCATGGTGGTATTCTATTGAGAGGAATGGATCTGATGTCTGAGGTCTTGGAATGAAATTCGGTCTCTGCTGACCTCCTTTCTCCTTTCTAGGTCTGTTTGCTCATTTGGGATTGTACTAAATGACCTCTTGAGGTCCCTTCCAGTTCTAAAGCTATGATCCCTCTTTGGCCTCAGTTTCCTTCTCTAGTGATATAAGGGGTTGGACCAGATGGTCCCTGAGGCTTGTAAAATAAGGGGACTGGGCTATATCAGGTTTTTTGTGTCACAGACCCTTTCTAACAGTCTGGTTTCTAATTAAGTGACGGACAGGCTCCACTTCAGTTAAGAGATTAGTTAAGACAATGATGTTACTTTTTCCCCCAGCCAAGGAGGTTCCCAGAGACTAGCTTAAGAACCCTTGGACTCACTACCTGCCTCACCCACGATGCGTAGACAAGCCAGAATTTGAATTCAGCTCCTATGACTCCCAGGATTTAGTATCTTCACGACTCAGATCTGATATTAACTTAAAGCGATATCCATTGGGGATGTTTCAGTGGAAAGAGTGTTAGATCTATCCTCTAGCACTGAGTGGCCTAGCGTCAATCTAAGCTGAGCCTCAGTTGCCACCTCCACAAAATGGGGATGTAATACCTATCTTATAGGGTTGTTGGAAGGAAGGAGCTTCAGAAATTAGAGGTCTTTGTTTCCTCCTACACTAAGGATTGCCTGATAGGTACGGGACAGACTCTTATAGGCAAACCAACGTGGACGCAGCTGAATCATAATCCCCCAGTAAAAGTACATCTTTTATGAATGGGCCTTCATATGAAATAGTTTTGTATCTCCAAACCATCGTCATCAATGTTCCCTAGGTGCTTTCGAGCTTGGCAATGTCCCTTCTAAAATGTGTGAGACTCATTTCAGAAACACCCAGACTCAAGCCCTTCCCTCCATCGCCTCTCTATGCCCTGTCCTCATCTGTTTGGTTTGCCTCTCAAGCCTTCATTCACATATTAGTCAAGTCAATGAGCACTGACACCTGTTTTGTGCTAGGCACCGTACCTGTTGATTTAAATATTAGGAGGAAAGGAAGCTTTGCTCAGATTTTAGGAAACGCACGAGAAAGGATTCTTCCTTAGTCCCTTTTCACGGGCTATTCTTCTCTAAAGAGATTCACCCTAAGGCTAAGAAAGCAGAACTCCTCCACCTAAGATCAGGGTGGGGTTCTAGAGTTGTTCTAAGTGGTCTACTCCAGAAAAATATTTATTTGGCCATCAGCTATTCTTCCTAACAGCTGCTAGTCACCCTTGTGGAGGGTTCATGTGAACATTCTGCTGAACTATGAAATTTAATCCTTTTCTTGCCTGAAAGATACTGCTACCATCTCATCCCATTGCCAACACTCACTATGGGTAAACAGAAACACTTGGTACCTGAATGGGCAGGTGCTCAAGCTACTGGGAGTCCCAGCTGATTCTAATCTGGGCCCAGGACTTTTTCAGCTACTTTGAGGTAGCTGAATTCCACCTTTCTTCCTTCCCTCTCACTCTGGGGTTCCAACTTTTAACTCTTGTAGAGACAACGGTATAGTGGGAAAAGCTTGGGACTTGGAGGTCATGAGAACGGGGTTCCAGGTGCTCTGAAATTTCACACCTGGGATACAGGGTAACCCGCTTCACTTCAGCGCCTTAGTTTCTTTATCTGCCAAATGAAGATGATAATCTTGGCCCTGTCTCTCAGGGATGCTGGATCCAATGACGTAATGTTTGCAAAGCACTTCAGGCATGTGAGTAGCTGCCTGCTTTTACTACTAGGAGCAGCTCAATGGGTAGTTTGTTACTGATTGGTGGCTGAGGCTTCTGCTGCCCAGTTAAGACTCCAGGCAGATACCTGGACCCTGAGATACGTCATCCTGGAGGCCAAGGGCCACTCGGGAGGAGCAGAAAGTTGGCTTCAGGGCAGGGCTGGTTCTCTGCAGTCTCCCACTCAGGGGGAGGAAAGGAAAGACAGGTTTGTGAAAGTCTAGATAGACTGAACAGAAGAGTCTTGAGACCGGAGCCAAATGGAAGCTCTGATCTCATCCTGGCAAACAAGGTATGGGAAGCTAAGAGTAGGGCCAAGGAGGGAGGAGAAGATAAGGAGCTTGTTTTGTTTCCCATGGTGGACTGAAGGGATCCCTTCCAACTTTTGGCAGCTAGGTGGTGCAGTGGATAGAACTCCGGACTTGGAATCAGGAAGACTTGAGTTTTAATCCTGCCTGGTGCTTACTGGGTGACTTGGGCAAAATCATTTAACCACTCAGCCTCAGTTTCCTCATCTGCGATATGGGAATGACAAAAGCACCTTCCACAGAGGGTTGTTTTGAGGATCAATGGGATGGTCTTTGTTAAAAACAAAAAATCACAAACCTTTTAATGCTATGTTAGCTATCATTACTTTGCAAATTAACTTTTTGTATGTATGTAGACATGCACCTAGGCATCGTATCTCCTCAGCTAGTCTGTGAAGTTCACAGGGGCAGGGACTATGGCTTATACTTCCTTTGTATTCCATCCTAGCCAGCACATAGGATGCATTAGTGAACTAGAGTGTGAACTAGGTGGTCACTAAAGGACTTTCCTTCCAGCTCCAATATGTAGTCTATGAGGCAGGTAGCTTGGGGCAAGGGTAGTAGTGGGATAGGGCAACATAACTGATTTTATCTTTTTTTTTTCCTTTTTAAAGTAACAGCCTTGTGGAAAACTCAAGTGCCCACAAAACATGTCTTATTTCATCTACCTACTTCCTTCAGCTCTGACAGTGCTAAATGTTTACTGGACCCAGGTCTGAAACAGACATTAAAGAGTCCCAAGGAACTCAGTGTCTGGGGGGGAGGGGCAAGGAGAGGAGAAAGAGGAAGGTGCACCCAAGGCTCTTCTAGGTCTAGGTGATGAAGAGCTAGCTAGCTTGGGGTGGGGGGGGGGGGGGGGGGGGGGGGGGGGGGGGGGGGTGGAGATGGGCACTGGCTGCTGCTCTGGACTCCGTGGCAGATGAATGGCATGCTCTCAAAGGGAAAAGGCAGCCTTCCCTAGAATACAGGGACCCTTCTTCATGCCTCAATTTTAAATTTCCAGGGGTGGGTGGGAGAGAAGGAAAGAAAGAGAAGAGAGGGGGAGATGGAGAGATAGAGGAAGAGAAAAGAAGGGGGGAGACAAGAGAGAGGGGGAGAGAGAGAGCGCTCACACATGCTTGGGTAGTGGAGGGAGGAGCGGGGCTGGCTGGCAGAGGGAAGAAGCGCATCATTACTGCACAGGCCGCCCTTCTTCAGGCAGACCATCCATCTTCATATCACCAGACAGTGACATCTTGGAACATGTAACAGATAAGATTTAAGCAGCTTAGTGCCAGGCGGTGCTGTGCCATTGGGAGAATCGCCTTCATCAGTCAAGTGTATTTACTAAACACGGCCACAACAAACATTCAGAGAGCGGCTGATAGCTCCTCAAGACTTCATAATCTCTCCAGAAGATACATCGGCTATAATTAATTGAAAGAGATGGGACTCAGTGATTGGAATTTGTAATGAGGAACATCTGTTCACTCTCTGTGCACAGCACTGGGCCACCCCTACAATGCCCCAGACCCCCTTGCTCTCATACCCTGTATATGCCCTCTGAC